CAACCTTAGTCTTACAGCGATGGATCACAAATCGTTCGCCACTAGCTGTACCAAATATCATTGGAACGAGAACGTTGCTGACGGCTGCATGAATGCGCGGCGAGTGGCCAATGTTATAAATCAGAACGCCACCGATGCTCCCTTTTTCTTCAATTTCAGGCCAGCGAATGTTATAAGCCGTCTGGTAAAAAAGAATGGCACGCAAAATACGTCATGAACGAGAAGACAATGGGGCTGTTTGAGTGTCATAAAACCATTTGCGAGACAATTTCTAGCGCGGCACTGCGCCATAGTTGTAAACGAACGACAGATTTTACGTCAGATAAAAACGCCACCCTTCCCCGACGTTTTCTGTCGACTGCGGCATGACACTCGTGCATTTGAAGTGAGATTTTAGCTATTTAAGATGGGAAATGAAGCCATGAATGTTTCAATATTGTCCCATCCATACTTTTATGCAGTCACTTGCACCCAATGTTTCTTATATTCCGTTGAGGGGAGAGCATTGGTAAGACACTTTGCCGTGCACATTACTAGGGCATGCGACCATGTACGGAATTTGCAATTAAAAACGAAATGCAAGCCAATTCTTGTTGCCCCACGATGCACTTTTTGGCCTGCCCCAGTTTCAGAGCTGCAGCGACATCCTGTCACAACACACAAATGAATTAATGTAAATGTAAGTGACGAGCAGATGACTAACAAAAACAATGTACCTGGTTTGGACGGCATCATAGAGAAGTCCCATTGTAAGATGAAACTCCGTGCTTGTTGTAAAATCAATCCTTAACTAAAAGCTAATGGCTTAAGCCCTTCGACCAACATAGATGAGTCAGCATTGCCACTCACTGCTAACAATCGCCTACAAATTTATATGTTATGGTTACGTTGAACAGCATGCTTGATGAACAAGGTGTGAACCTGCAGATACATGCAGATAACCACACTTTATAGCAGGAATCTATCATACTACCATATTCCCGAGAACTGTCATGCATTAACATCTAAGGGATGCCGGTAGTGTAGTGGTTAAGGCGTCTGCGTTAGCCACTGCTCATCTGGGAAACCAGAGGCACGGGGTTCGATTCCCCGCGGTACCCGCCCTTCCTGCCAGGGTGAGAGGCAGGCGACGCCATATTGCCTAAGCAGCTGAGTGCGTCGTAAAGCCCCAATGACACACACAATAACAACTAATTCCATATTAATAGAGTAATGGAAAAAGAACAACCATCATGGACATTTTGCACAGCTCAAAGTGATCATACTGCTCACAACATTTGCAATTAATAGCAGTGTCCTAGAAAAGGATGGGTTACTTCAATGAATGCAGTACTTTCACAGCCGATGCGGCATGCCGCAGCTGTCAGGCTGCTTCAGTCCAAAGTATTGTTCACACGAGTAATAACACATGCACAACGAGAAAATACTACACGTAGTAAAATGACACTGCAAACCCGCTGATCTTACACAAGGCTGGAGACATGACAAGAACATAGAGTGATGGTTAGATGGGTGAAATGCAAGGAACTGACAAAACTGTCAGTGCACACAAAACTCATGATCGAAATATTGTGCCATCTAAGAAACCAACAGCAATACTTTTCCACCTTTCCCAACAGCCAGCATCTCACAGAAGTTGCAGTCAATAAAAATAGGTTTTGAACTAGATGAGCAAACACATATGCCAGGAGCTGCCGAATATTTTTATCAAACTGTCCCGGTCACATACAACATTACTTTGTACTTTCTCAATTCAATTCTCCGAAGGTGTGACATTGATGACGTACAAGCAATGCTTCCCTGCACACAAAATCTCCTAAGACATTAGCATGTGCATCCATAATAATACAACACTGTGTTTTAAAATTCTTAAGGCAAAGACATTTTTTGCAAAGCTGTATCATGCGAGCTTTTACCAAGCATGTGCATTAACGAGCCATACGGGCTTACCCCTAGTGCCAAAATGAAATGCTACTATAATGGCCTACAATGGATTAATTACATACTGTAATACTGCAATAGGCTCAACATGTTGGCAAGGTCGGGTGCCGGTAGTGCAGTGGTCGACGCGTCTGGGTTAACCACTACGCTTCTTGGAAACCAGAGGTACGGGGTTCGATTCCTTGTGGTGTCTGCCCTTCCTGACAGGGTGAGAGGCAGGCGATTATTGATATATCACATTTTACTGGGAGTCATTACACTTAAAGAATAACAAAACAGTGTTCTCTATTGGCAGTACGCACCCCGCACGCACACTCCCCGTCACATCAATATAAATGCGAGCCGTTGGCACGCGCCACCAGTGGTCAGACCCATTTCAAGCGCCTGATTCAGATACAAATGTCAAAAAGTTGCGATCCTTCGCTTGCACAACGCATGGAACTAGAAAATTGCAAGTTTGCTCACAATTTCTGTGCAATTTTTTTGTTTGTTACAACACCGCATTTCACTGTGAGTTACCCCCAAAACACAGGCTCAACGAAGGTGCATGGTAATGCAGCTCATCAGGTTTTACCTGCGAGACACTGTTTTTCACAAATTAAAAGTCATACAATATGTGTTGGACATTTAGTACGATTTATGCTTAAAATTGCCATAACATTTTCAAAGTTTTAAAGTACCTTGAGACCTTGAGACCATGATCCCCTGAGAGCTTCTTTGCTCCGGTGCACAATGCGCCAGCCGAGTTGCCTGTAAAAAAATGCGTAAGTAGGAGAAGAAAAAATGACATTAGAAAGGCCGCGTTCGATATGTCGTCAGCACATTTGTCAGCACCAGTCACGGCCAGTATTCACCCTACGTCATGTCACGTGACCATAAGGTCACGTGGCCTGTGACGTCATGCACCGGCTGACGATGATACCAATATTTTTTTGTCAGTCCGTCAGCATGGAGAGCAAGCGCTACCAGAATTTAAAAAATCACTGACTGAAGCGGGAGTTGGATTTGGTAGCCGTTGCTTTGGCGAATATATTAGATGAGGTGAGTCACTTGTCTTTAATTTTAGGGGAAATACGTCGCAAGATAGGTGAGGAGGGGATTGACCTGCTAAGAATGGCCATGAAAAGGCAAGTGACAGTGATTAGTGTCACGCATTCTAGCTGTCAAACGTGCTGACGATAGATCGAACGCGGCCAAAACAAGACAGATTTGCCGTCACGTTTTCTTTTTTCATGATGTTTGGGAAAATGCCGTGCTTTTTTCGGTGCCGTAATTTTAACAGACAGTGACATTTTTTCCGTAACATTGGCCTCAGTGGTAGCAAATATGTAAGCTCCCGAAATCGTAACGGCCGGACAGGTCCGGACCGAAGCAAATCGAATCATACCAGAGATATGCCCAGGCCGAAACCAAGCCAGGCCCAAACCAAGCCAAACCGAACCGAACCGAACCGAAACCAAACCAAACCAAACCAAACCAAACCAAACCACACCAAACCAAACCAAACCAAACCAATCCAAACCAAAGCAAACCAAACCAAACCAAACCAAACCAAACCAAACCAAACCAAACCAAACCAAACCAAACCAAACCAAACCAAACCAAACCAAACCAAACCAAACCAAACCAAACGCAAACCAAACTAAACTAAACTAAACTAAAGCAAATCAAACCTCACCTCACCTCACCTCAACTCACCGAACCCCGAACCTGCTGTAGTTGAAAAAGAACCCTTCAGGCAAAACGCTTTCCGACCGCAGCCTTGCTTTGTAATTGCGACGCATGTGCTCTGTCTATCTAATTATTATATGCTTACGCTAGACGAGGCCATAAGACTGGCGTGTTATGCGACATCACCAGCTAATGGGTTTTACGTACGGCAAGCCTGCCCACTTCGGTGTTTGCAGCCGGAGGTACTGAACCAAATATTTATATTGCTGACCATGAAACACGCCCCCGCCAGACACGTTAGCAACATCTTGCTCTGTTGACTGTTCCGACCAGCCAGCTGTAGAAGTCAAAACCCGTGGATTGGCTTGTTTATTTTAGAGTCCTGAGAAGCTTTGGTTAGTCAAGGTTAGCTGAAAAGGGTATTTACACCAGAGCTTGCCAGGCTCTTAAAAGTGACCCGATCAGGGTAAAACAATCAGTAGAGATCGTCTCCATCTGCAACGCAGATCGTCTCCATCGGCACCGCAGACCGTCTCCATCAGCACCGCAGAGCTGTTTCGACTTGACCGGGATAGAGACTGTGCAAGGTTCGATGTCACGACAAGGGATTTCTGCCATCAGACTTCTGGCGAGGGGAGCTGACTGACCAGGCCCAAAGCCACACCAGTGCAGTCCTGGGACTGGGCGGAGCTTGGACCCTACCAAGTGGTAACCTCTACCCAGTCCACATGAAACGATCTTTTTTTTGGTCTGGGATTAAACCCACATTGTGATTTGATTTCCAGGCGCCGCTTTTGAAAAAGGGCAACATTGCTTGCTAATGTGAATATTTGACATTAAATTTCGTCAAGCTAAACCTTCAACGATCACAAAACGACGTTACGGGGATTTTGATGCTTATGGTGGCGCATACCGGTAGGGCAAATGCTGCTCTCGGCTACGACTTAAGGAATTAGAAGTGTGGAATTAATACCCGACCAACGAGTTAGGCTCACTCAAACGTGTCTTTTAGGAAGATATGTAAAAAGGCAGCTGCGGCATACTCTCCCGATGCATTTGGCTTGTTTTTCTTCACCAAGAGTTTCCTCCCCACGCTGCAATAATCCTGTAAAATATTGATCTCAACTCTGGGCCTGTGGGGCGGTTGGCGCCATATGCTAATTTTTATTCTTACATGGTTTTAATTTAAAGCGTTACCGCCGAAAACAATACGTAAAAGTAGTTAATTTTAGTTCTACGTTGTTCAAAGGCTCTCGTTTGACTGTTTTTCCTTCACCGGATTAATTTTTGAATGCCGGCAAATCCCTGGTGTTAAAAACAACTTGTGGAATCAAATTCACTGCTCTTTCCAGAACAGAACTGAATCTTTGTGTCGATGTGATCCGCAGGGTGTCTGCTTATGCTGACGGAGGCCCAGGTGACCGACTCGCTGCCGAAGCGGTTGATGAGCACCGCGTTCTTCCCGCTGCGCCACCCCCAGGTGGGCCGCACGGACTGGCTGGCGGCGCGCGACTTCAGCGAGCGCTACCTGCGCGCCCTCGGCCTCAACGTGACGCGCCAAGTGTTCAGCACCACCGTACTCTTCGACCAGGATATTGCGCAGCTGGTGAGTGGCCGGCTGGCCGGCTGGTTTGGGCCTCGCGGCCGCATCGGGGTGGACCTCGGTGTGGGGCCGACGGCTGGTGCGCGCCGCCGGCAAAAGTTGCGGAGCCACTCAGGCACCTTGTTTGGTGTTCGCGTGTAGGATCGGTATGCACGGATAGCCGGTGTTGACTTGTCCGACGTGAACAGCAAATGGTTGGGGCACTGCCGAACTACGCATACTGCATGAGTGGTTCATGGCGGTCGCATCGGCGCCTGCTGGAAAGCCATAGCTGAGCTATAATGAATCGGCATCGGGCAACGTGGCTCGGATGCGGCGATGCGTCATTCCGATGTCAAATTATATGATCACATGGAACAGCACAGCCGTGCGAAACCGTGCTGTAAGCGGATCGAGTGACCCGGCTGTGATGGAATGCGCAGACTGCAAACACTTGGTATTTTTAAATTCTCAAACGTCCTTGAGTTCATGCCTGTGCTGCGGTTAACTCGGTCAGCCCCTTCCGGGTTTCGTGCCCTATTTCTGCGCGAAACCGCGTCGACTGTAACATGTGCCGCTGTTGTACCGGGTCGTTCTTGACCGTCGGTGGTGGTTCATTGCGGTGGTGACGTTTGGCAGTAGTGCAATATCAGCGGCGACTTTTGACATTGTCACAGCGAGCTGCATCAGTGGCGACTGGCACCGGTAGCTTGGCTCCGCTGCAGGAGAAAGCTGGGGGCATCCAGGACTTCCAGGGCATCGATTTTCGTGAGACGCCACATACATTGAATTCCCGATAACACGAAGGGCGCGCGCCCCGTTTCCCACGTGTCTGAACTCCTGGGTGACGGTGCCTGTTTCGGTGGGCGACTGCTGCGGGGATGGCCGTCGATTACAGGGCAGAACTCGCCAGCAGGCCTGTCAATGGTGACCTGAGTCGGTGGTGGAGCCGATGCAGTCAGAGACATATCCAGCAGGCCTGTCAGTGGTGACCTGAGGGCTGCGGTGAAGGCGATGACAGTGCACCTCGCCAGCAGTGCCTGTCAATGTGACTAGTGCGGTGGTGGAGCCTGAGGCGTGTGGTGAACCGATGACAGTGGAGACCTCGCCATCAGGCCTGTCAGTGGGACCTGAGCGGTGGGGGTGACCGATGAACAGGGCAGACTCGCCAGCAAGGCGCTGTCAATGGTGACCTGAGGCGGTGGTGTACCGATGACATTGCATGACTCTCTCGAGCAGCCTGTTCAGATTGGGTGACACTGTAGGGGCGGTGGTGAACGCTGCGTGCAGACCGCCGCAGGCCTGTCAATGGGGGTGACCTGAGGCGGTTGTGACGCGATGACAGTGCAGACTTCGCCAGCAGGCCTGTCAGTGGTGACCTGAGGCGGTGGTGACCGATGACAGGGCAGACTCGGCCAGCAGGCTGTCAATGGTGACCTGAGGCGGTGGTGACCGATGACAGGGCAGACTCGCCAGCAGGCCTGTCAGTGGTGACCTGAGGCGGCGGTGACCGATGACAGGGCAGACTCGCCAGCAGGCCTGTCAGTGGTGACCTGAGGCGGTGGTGACCGATGACAGGGCAGACTCGCCAGCAGGCCTGCCAGTGGTGACCTGAGGCGGTGGTGACCGATGACAGGGCAGACTCGCCAGCAGGCCTGTCAGTGGTGACCGATGACAGGGCAGACTCGCCAGCAGGCCTGTCAATGGTGACCCGAGTCCAGCGTGAGTTGACCCAGTGCCGGTGGTGATCCGCGCCGCTGGCGAGCTGCGCCGTCAGTGACCTGTCTCGGTGGCGCGGTGCGTCAGCGGGGCCGGTATCATTGGTAACATGTGTCGATTGTGACCCATGCCAGTGAGGAAATGTGACAATGTCGGCAAAGTGACAACAGCTGCTGTGTCAGTGGCAACATGTAGCGGCGGTTACCCGTGCCGTTGGTGATTTGTGTTCGTGGTTACCTGTTTGTGGCCGATGATAGCTTGAGCCAATTGTGACCCCCGCTGACTGACATTGTGTCAGTCACGACCTGTATAAGTGGTGCGTCGTGACAGTGGTCATCTGTGCTAGCAGTGAGCCGTGTCAGTGATGAGCTATGCCTGTGGCCGTAGTGGCATGAATCAGTGGCGACTTGCGTCGATGGCACATTTGTCAGTGGTGACCGGTGCCAGTGGTGAAGTGTTCCAGTGGCGACGTGTGTCAGTGGTGACGTGTGTCAGTGGTGACGTGTGCCAGTAGTGACATGTGCCAGTGGTGACGTGTGTCAGTGGTGACGTGTGCCAGTGGTGACCCGTGTAAGCTGACCTGTCGCCAGGTGGAGGGCGTGAACCTGTTGGCCGTGGTACCCGGTCGTCACTGGGACTCTGACGCCGAGGATGACATCCTGGTGGTCGGCGCTCACTACGACACCGACGTCACCAACATGGGTCAGTGCGCGACACCAGCGTGGGCTAGTGAGCGTCGCCAATGTGGTGTTAGTGAACGTCACTTACTTGTTTCAGTAACATGGGCCAGTGAACGGCATTGGTATGGCCCAGTGAACGACACCAGTAGGGGCTAATGCCTTAAATACATCGCCGGAGCAAGTGGACGTCCCACCACCGCAAATAAAAACTGATGGCGCACCTGCGGTAGACGGTCAGATTGAATGCACAGCGGCGACATGATCCAGCGCAAAAACCAATGGTTTACTAGTCATTTCTCAAAGTGTCGTGGGCAGAACTTGTAGTTCTTAGTAACCTGATGACGCTAGTGACGATGCACTGCTCAGTGGTTGGAACAAAGGAAGGTGGGGGAGGGGCATTGGTCAGTCACCTTGTACAAAAAATATAACATTGCAGTACCGTGTGCATTAAAAATTTACCTGAAAATATGCTTTGCCCCCCACTACACACACACACACACACACACACACACACACACACACACACACACACACACACACACACACACACACACACACACACACACGCACACGCACACGCACACGCACACGCACACGCACACGCACACGCACACGCACACGCACACGCACACGCACACGCACACGCGCACGCGCACGCGCACGCGCACGCGCACGCGCACGCACGCACGCACGCACGCACTTTTGCGTAACGTTGCTAAGTCCTGATGGACTGGCATAGCTGGTCAGTGTGCTACAAGGGTGTACCCGCGTCCCGGAGACTAGAGGTCGCAAATAGTGACCGGGGTGGCGATCTGACCTAAAAAAGTGTTTTGCCGGAGTGTGTGTACGGTTCAGACACGAATGTATGCAAAAAACTTGCCGTTTGTGGCGGATATTGAGGGGGGAAACATTCATGGGGATAAGTGCTTATTAAAGTGGGTGTGGTCACGCTCCGCCCACGCGGCGCAGCGGCAAAGTGCGATGTTCTCTAAATGTAACATTTTGTGGAAGCTCATCTAGCTGATATAATTGTGTAGAGCAGGATCGCTGGGAAGGCCGTAAAGGGTTGCGTCAGTCGGTGAAAGTCAATGCTGATGCCCATGAGGCAGTGACGAAAGCCGTGAGTAGAGAAATAGCCTTCACTCTGTCGCCTAATGGAAGCCACCGACATGAGATGAACCTGAGATGCACTTTGCGGTCGTTTATATCCGCTTATCTCCCTCAGAGATAAATCGTCATTCAGTTCAGTGTAACTGTGACATCAGCGCGGCCTGAAACAACGTCGGCCCAGCGGGTAATGGAGCCGTCCCACCCGTTATCATCCTGTCCCTGTGACGCCGGGCCGGACCAGCGTCAGAGCCCCCAGCGGCTAGCCACAAATAAGACACTTGGCCTCGGCGCCCGCTGCCCCACACCGATTAGCGCACATCGCGACTGTGTGACTATAGCACGTGGTCCAGTCAGCCGTGGGGCACAAGTTATATACAGCCACAGGCAGAGCCGCTGGCGGCCAAGCGACATCATTGTTCTCGGGGCCACACCACGGATTTTGAGTTGGGGAAGGGGGGCGATTTGGCAGGGGGCCTCCCGGACAAAATGCGGCCCCTCACAGGGGCCGCCTCCCAGGCAGCGTCGCATTCAAGGGGGGACGCTGGGTACACGTGCTTCCTATCAAGTTGATACAGGTATAGCATTCATGCAAATGAATGCCAGTGAATGAAAATCAAAAGTAGGTTTAATCAGACTCATACAGGGCTTCTTCATTCGACAAAGAGCTTGTGGCTTCGTGTCCGAAAATATGATATTCTGTGCTAGAAAATGATTATTTGATGCATAGAACGCCTCCTAATCCAGAACAGAATTATGACTGCCCATAACCGTGAGTTTATGGGCAGATGTGTGTGGCTCAGAAATATGCCTGTTGCCGTGGCCTCCAAAAATGGCACTGACGAATGACAACGAGAATGCTAGAGTTTTATACAGGTTACAGTTCGGTGAAATTGAGACGATACGTCGGTCAAACTGAGTGAGCCATACAAAAGACTGTGCCTTGTAAATGAATTGGGAATTACCTCACCTTGACCACGCCTCTGTCCACATTTGAAAGCGTCACAAATTATACCGAAAGTAGATGACTGGCGAAAAGTTGAAGTTTAGAATAACCACAGATGAAAACCGGAAGTGAACCAGCGTCTGACGCAGGGCGGCCGTCTGGACGCCCGGCCACCGGTACCCTCCCACGGCTTTGGTCAGCTCTTGGTGCGAGACCGCTGCCACTGCCCACAGAGGGGTCCTTGCAATAGCCGCCGACGTCCGCGGCGCTTCCCGGGCGCGACCTTGGCGTCTGGCGTCACCGCCTTCGGCAGGTTTGGGGCTCTGGGCTCATCGCTCCGCCGGTGTCGGCGGGTGTCAGGCGCGATGTCCGGGCGGCGAGGTGTCATACACAAACAGAAACAGAGCAGCCCTCAGTTCGATGGCGTGCGAATAAACAGCCGGGAGCGACACACCAGTGGACGGCTGCGGGGGTGGCGGCGAGATGACAGGGGTGATGACGCTCCTCACCACCCCTGCAGGGGCCCTGTGCTGCGGACGGCGCGCCCATCCGCTCGCTTGCTCATTTGAAGCGTGTGGGTGCGAACAGGTGCGCCAGGCTCGGTGGGTTGCACGCGGTGGGTAGTGATGAGTCACCCACGCCCACTATGATCAAGGCTGTTGATAGTGTCCGACTTTTTGCGATCGGAATGACAAGTATCGACTGGCTTCGTATCTTGATGCTGTGTTTTGTTTTGTGAACAAAACACAGGGTAAGACGTGGCCGTGCTGTGCGACCATTATGAGCCGGATGGCTGGAGCTGTGTGGTGCGCCCCGCTGGGGCTGGCCGACAGGCGGTCCGAGGGTGGGTGCAGCTGGCCCGGTACAGGGCCACTGGTGGTCTGAGCGGCGCCTCGCGGATGTGCTGATTCACAGGTGGTCTGAGGAACGCGCCCCTTCGGTACGGCCCGGAAGCGGTCTGAGGGGCGCATTTCGCTCGTTGACTGTGCCAGTCGGGGCCAGTTTGAGGTCTGAATACTGGCGGGTCTGATGCGGCGAGGCACGCGCTCAGGATTCTCGTCAGGAGGGAGTCCGACCTTTGAGTGTTGTGTGATCCTTCAAAGAAGCTCCTCTATCGAAAGCAGCAGAAGGACGTTGGGATTCCCAAAGCCTTTCTGTGACGGATACCATCCAGAAAGCAGTATTTGTTCCTTGGAAAAACGGAAAAATGTCAAGCTTAAAACCATTTTGAAACATTTTAGAAGCCTGCGAGACCATTTTGACGATTAATTTACAGTCACCGTACCCGGTGCTGCCCTTAGCAGGGCCCGATGCATGCAGATCAAAATGTCGCCTTTGTTTTTAGTGCCTTTTGATGCTATGGTCCCATGTGCCGTAGTAAGCATTGACATGAGGCGCTGTTTGACGACTGTTGTTTTCCCCTGGGCTTCATATGCTGATAAATCCTTGATACTTGCACTGCCTGGATTGTAATGTGTCGAGAGGTCGTTATCGATTATTTAGTCGGCGCTTTGATGCCAGGCGGGCGATGTGCTGCCTGATCCGTGGTGCGTCTCTCACGCACTGATGTGTTGCGCCATCCGTCCGTCAGGTGTCCGTCCCGGCTCGGGGATGGTGGCGCTGCTGGAGCTGGGCCGTCATATCCAGGAGCGGCGCACGACTGGCCTCCAGCTTGACCACACCGTCATTTTGGCCGCCCTCGACTTAATGACGTCAGAGCACGTGAGCGACGCTGGTTGGAGGGGATGGGAACCGGTCCATTACCGGTGGGTCTTAGTGGAACGCAGAACGCTCGGCGCAAGGGCACGACTTCTGTCTGACCTATAATTGCTATGCAGATGAAGCTCCTCCGGTGCTCTGATATATTTTTCCTACATCCAACGGCGGTAGCGCAACACGTGCGCCGAATCTAAGTTAGCACAGGTGAGCTGGTTTGGAAAGACTTGCCCCTGAATTCCTTGCGCAGATGTGTATCTATTGGCTCGCAAGAAGCTGATAGCATCACAGGCGTAGCAATAGCAGGGCATGAAGACGCTAATGCGGGGCTCGCATGCGCCGAGCCAGTTTTCCTTTGCTCATCACGCTATACGTCAACCGGTCTTCAATCGATCTCCGGCCGATAGCGCTGTGTGCGAATATCATTGCCACCGGCGCGCGTCGGTCGAGCTCAGCCGACCCTCGTGTGTCGAGCTCAGCCGACCCTCGTGTGTCGAGCCCAGCCAATCCTCGTATGTCGAGCTCAGCCGATTCCTCGTATGTCGAGCTCAGCCGACCCTCGTGTGTCGAGCTCAGCCGATCCTCGTGTGTCGAGCTCCGCCGACCCTCGTGTGTCGAGCTCAGCCGATCCTCGTGTGTCAAGCTCAGCCGACCCTCGTGTGTCGAGCTCAGCCGATCCTCGTGTGTCGAGCTCAGCGGATCCTCGTGTGCCGAGCTCAGCCGATCCTCGTGTGCCGAGTTCAGCCGATCCTCACGGGCCAAGCAGCGCGCTGACGACCGCGTCCGCTGTCAGTCCTGGGGCAAGGCGGGCGACTCCGGCGCCGAAGTGTTCCTGCGCGGTTACCTGAATCCGCTGCTCACCTCGCGGCCCTCCCGGCGCTTCCGCGGCGCCATCATGCTCGACTCAGTGTTCAACTTCAACGCCTCGGTCGGCAGCCAGGTGTACCCGGGTGGCTTCGCAGAGGTAAGTGCGTCCGTGGCGGACAGGGGACTCGGTTGTCGGAGGCGGTGCCTGTGCTGCAGACCGCTGTTCGGATGCCGGGGAGCGGTATGGGTCAAGGGCGGGCCGCACTTGCGCCAGGTTATATAATCGCGCGGTCCATGCATGCATTCCGTTGACAACTGACAATACTTTGTTGTTGATGGAAACGCGTGTGTGGGCAAGATGAACAATTAATTTTAGTTGTAGTCCATGGACTAACGAGGTGACATGACAACTTTACTATATGTGCAGTCAATGCAGTAGTTACGATAGAATGTACTTGCTTGAGATGTCTGCGGGATTAGCTTTTATGCTATCAGTACGTGACTGTTGTGTTTGTGATGTATGCTAGCATGGCTCAGGTAGTCTGTTGCAAGGCTGTAGAAACAGTACAAACAAAAATCCGTTGGCTGTCGCAACGAATATACTTTAAGCAAATTTGTCGATTAAGGAACGTTTTTAGTGCTGTGGGGTCTTTTCGACGCAAGGATATGATTGACAGCACTTCCGCTAAAATCGCTTAATAAACAAAATCGCGCCGAAAAGGGCTTCCATCAGACACTTCCCGACCGACACTACGCCTCTGTCAGACGTTCCCCGGTCAACCCTGCGCCTCCTGCAGACGTTCCCCGGCCAACCGTGTGCCTCCGTCAGACGTTCCGCGGCTAACCCTGCGTCTCCGTCAGACGTTCCCAGGCTAACCCTGCGTCTCCGTCAAACCTTCCCAGGCTAACCCTACGCCTCCGTCAGACGTTCTCTGGATAACCTTGCGTCTCCGTCAGACATTCTCCGGATAACCCTACACCTCCGTCAGACGTTCTCCGGATAACCCGACACCTCCGTCAGACGTTCTCCGGCTAACCCTGCGCCCCCGTCAGACGTTCTCCGGATAACCCTACACCTCCGTCAGACGTTCTCCGGATAACCCTACACCTCCGTCAGACGTTCTCTGGATAACCTTGCGTCTCCGTCAGACGTTCCCCGGATAACCCTACACCTCCATCAGACGTTCTCCGGATAACCCTACACCTCCGTCAGACGTTCTCCAGATAACCCTACGCCTCCGTCAGACGTTCTCTGGATAACCTTGCGTCTCCGTCAGACGTTCTCCGGATAACCCTACACCTCCGTCAGACGTTCTCCGGATAACCCTACACCTCCGTCACACGTTCTCCGGATAACCCTGCGCCCCCGTCAGACGTTCTCCGGATAACCCTACACCTCCGTCAGACGTTCTCCGGATAACCCTACACCTCCGTCAGACGTTCTCCGGATAACCCTACACCTCCGTCACACGTTCTCCGGCTAACCCTGCGCCCCCGTCAGACGTTCTCCGGCTAACCCTGCGCCCCCGTCAGACGTTCTCCGGCTAACCCTGCGCCCCCGTCAGACGTTCCCAGACGTTGAGCAGACGGGCCGCGGGGACTTCCTGGGCGTGGTCAGCCGGCCCGCCTCGGACGCCGCCCTGCTGGAGGCGCTGAAGGCCGTCTGGCCGGCCGGCGCCGGCCGCCTCCAGCCGCTGAGCCTACCGCAGCAGCCGCCGGACACGGAGGCGCTGTTCCAGTTCCTCAGCCAGGGCCACGACGCCTTCTGGAACCGCGCGGCTGGCGGTGTGGTCAGCTCGCTGCCGGCCGTACTACTGACCGACACAGGTGAACAGAGCTGGTCACATGGGGACGGGACGGTACAGGACACGGGTCACAGGTGAAAGGACAGGTCACATGTGAACAGGACTGGTAGCGGATCAGCAAAGCATGCTTTTTGGGAACAGAGCATGCCACGTGAGTCAAATGCGGATACGCATGCCTGATGTAAACATGGGAAGACACAAGAGCATAACGGAGCAGAACAGGCCACACGCCGTAGCCGATGATGTCACGCGCGGAGTGACCAGGACAAGTCACAACTATGACGTAACCGCCTCATGGCACGAAGGTTGCGAATGATTGAAGGTGCTAACTCGCTCGGACCGGTATTGGTGAGGATAATCAGACCAGCGCGCTGGTCATGCAGAAGCTGGGACCAGACGTCATGGCATGCACCTAAGCTAGCTTACGGGTTCCCTGCTTGAGCCACCTAAGCTAGCGTTCGGGTTACAACTTCCCTGATAGACATGGTCGTAAGATCATCCGGTGCAGTTAACAGCCGTGCTCTTTTTAAGACCTAAACTAGTTTTGTTTCTGAGCTACACGTGTTACGCAGATAATTCTCTGATAAATTTCGTTGGTGAGGTTTCTCGACTCTTTCGCTTCTTCTACGCTTAGGCGGCACCTCCTCCATACTGGCCACCATTATATTACGCGGGGATCCATTATGTTACGCGTAGTTTTTCCGATATATCGTCGTCATCGTCTCCCTCAACTCGATTTTTTTGTCGTCCTAGTAGTAAGTACTGGCTCCTCATTTTTTTTTCAGGAATATTGCCGTGTTCTCCCGACAGATTGTTCACCGACAGCTAACGGCAATCACGAGATTCCCAAAACCCAGCTTGCGTAAAAATAGCAAGCACCATGACTGGCGCAATTTAGATGAAGTTCCTGCGTGGTTTTTAAAGCTACGTACTCGCACATGACGTTGTGTAATGTATAATGTTGTGAACTAATTAACCCCACGAAAGAACAGAATATCCTTGGTAGTAATATGTCTGCTGGCAAAAACAAATTTTCTTAGATTACGTATACATGTCATTGTCGCTCGCGACTGTTGGCTAGATGGTCCTCTGTATTGGTCTACAAGCAATTATCACGGAGGCAATTCCCTGTCATAAACCAACGAACTGGGGCGACTGCAAAAGGTGGCGAAAACGTTGGCTCACCGACATTACACGGGCTTTTACGGAATATATGTTTTCGTCCTAACATGGGCAGCAAACGTCGCTTTACTGGGGTTCCGCAACGAACATTCATACGTTCACACCATCTCACGCCTGCTTGTCACCGGTCACAATAAAGGGAGGCCTATGGCGTGGTCGCCACACACAGTCTGCGCAGGTTATATGCAACGATCAGACCCGCTCAATTATGGGCGAAGCCTTACAGTCATACGCCACTCATGCCTCGGAATGTATCCACAGTAACTAGCAGCCACTGGGTGCAAGGCTCACCGCGGCATTACCACGAAGTCACCACCCTCTCTCGTCACTGAACCGCGGCATTACCACGAAGTCACCACCCTCTCTCGTCACTGAACCGCGGCATTACCACGAAGTCACCACCCTCTCTCGTCACTGAACCGCAGCATTACCACGAAGTCACCACCCTCTCTCGTCACTGAACCGCGGCATTACCACGAAGTCACCACCCTCTCTCGTCACTGAACCGCGGCATTACCACGAAGTCACCACCCTCTCTCGTCACTGAACCGCGGCATTACCACGAATTGACCACCCTGTCTCGTCACTGAATACGCCGACATCATCCGTTGGCCAGCCGGAATTCCTCGTCGGCTCATACCTTGCCTGCCTGATGTGTAGGCCTACCTCCATCGTCACCCGCGAGAAATCACCGAGTCAAACATCTGTGACGCATTTAGCCCGTGGTGATAACAATCCTTTCATTACACTTGTGGAAAATTCACAGCCGCCCCGATCTGCGCGCAGTATATGAGCTATGTAAGACAATTAATTTGACGTGTAAACATGGACCTGACCACGACGTGTCCTCTCTCAAGACACACAATTTAGGGCGCACATTATTCATTAATCTGCTATTTTTCTAAAGACCGTTCACTGAAGCGCATATAAAAAAACAGACAGGGGTGGGCATGTCATCTACCAGCACACATTGGCGACGGATTTATATATTAGACGTGCCAGTTACTGTGATACGATGTAAGCACGAAAAGGAGCACGACACACAACAGATCAGAATTATTGTGCTAGCACGTAATCTCAAAAAGGCCTACGGAACGCGTAGTCCTAATTATCTAAAAAAAGAAAAAAGGCCGGGATCGCAGAATCGCCGAAGGGTAGGCGATTCCTGCGCCGGGGTTACACTTTTCCGAGATTAAACCGCCGAGCACCCGGCCGTCGGCACGCCGGGCCGATATGGTCTCCCATCACCGCCTCCGTGTCAACGTCTCTCCCTTTGCTGAACGTTCCTCTGTACCGGTTGAACGTGCCCCACTCCGACGAGGCTGGTTTTTTTTAAAGGGCCGCCCCTATTGATCGTCCTGGTACGCATGTCCGAAACGAGTACTCGGGCCAAACGCAACCAAAATTTGCAGACTTTCGGGAGGACTATTTCGAGGCCACCCAGGCACCCATGACGTCATAATAACGTCATTCAAATCATGCTTTTTAATTTGCCATGCGGTGATCAACCCCAGTACGAATATAATTGTAGAGTCGTTTATATCTGGCGTTCGCGAGCACAATTTCCAGATAACGCAACCGTCCATCGGCTCTCAATGTTGCGCAAGGTAGCATGGCGCGATCAAGCAATAAGGTATTGAGGCATGTTTACTAAGTAGCGAAATTGTGTTGTATAAAACTCTTTTCCACGAAAAGAAAATGTTTTACATTTGAAGATATTTAAGCCAGCATTAGATACAATGAAGCAAGCTCAATCGTAACTGTTGGCACACTTTTCAAGTCGAAAAGACTGCTCTAGACAGCCTAAGTCTCTGTTTAGTAAATATGTTCCTCACTGCATCATGATTTCATTACGTCACCGTACCTTGTACAATAGATAAGCCAGCGATAATAGCCTTATTTCTCGTGGAAAAGAAACAGGGGGATATAGACATGATGCGTTGATATTTCGGCGACATGCCTCTATCGAAACGAATGGCAGAAGGGAATTCAAAATTGCCTGCGGATGATTCCTGCTCGTTTTTCAGGTTTTTCTTTCAAAACAGCGAGCCACAGTTTGGACAGATCACCAACATTCAGGGGATTAAACAAGGAACAAGTGCCAGCCAGTGCTATGATACAGTGCACATCTAAATAGGGATCAGAACACGGGAAAAATGCATGTGCACTTAAACGGATTTAAGTGAACAGGCATCCTATATCGCCCATCAATTATACATGCAAACGATTTCAACCAAACAGGCATGGCGCATGACGCGTCAGAAATCACTCATGCATGTAAACCATTTTAAGCAGGAACACGTCATACTTTAAGGCACATATCACTTTCACATCATCGGCCATGATGAGCCCTGTACATTAAAGTGTGATCGCCGACTTCGCGTAAGAATACATTGACTTATTTTCTCTGGATGGTCCAGTGCTCTGAGGTAGACTTTGAGCTCTAAAAGGGGTATAGGGCCCATACCTCCCTGGATATCAGCCTGAGCGTATTTTGCCAAAAAGGGTCACCAAAAGGGTATTCCTTGTTTCTTCACCACCCATCCCCCACATGGTAGGACGCGGCAACACGTCCTGTCGAGCGACGGATTCTTAACACTACATTACATAGAATGAGGACTTGTTTTAGAAAAACATACATGTGGTTCGAAAATCAAAACTACGCCTACGCATAGCTTTGGAAGAACGACAATAAGTTAGAAAGCGTCTCTGGTGGAGTGCCCTCTCTTGAAGGCCACGTGCCCAGGTGGCAGTATGTCATCTATGCAAGTCTGGGTTTCAATGGGTTTGCACGCCAAAACCGTGGTTTACGCAGTTAAGTATGAACCGCGTGAAGAAACATGGAAAGAACATAGTCTTTGTGGGGGAGTCCATGCGCTCTTTCTCGTTTTAAATGTAGTGAACGCCTGCGAGAGGCTAAAAACAAAGCAGGGAATACTCCTTTCGGTGGCCATTTTTTGGCAACACACGCTCAGGCTGATTTCCAGGAAGGTATGGACCGTGTGCCCCTTTTAAAGCTCAAGGTCATCTATGGTGCGCAGGACCACCCAGGCAGGGAAATAAGGGAATCTATTCTTAGGAAAAGTCGGCAACCGGACCTTAACGTCCAGGGCTCATCATGGCCGATTATGCGAAAGTGGAATGTGCCTTGATGCGTAATGCGTGCTAGGTTAAAATCGTTTACATGTATGAGTAATGTGAGACGCGTGATGTGCCATGCTTGTTGAGTTGAAATCGTTAAAATGTTTTATTGATACATGATGCGTAATGCCTGTTTGCTTGAATTCACTTACACGCACATGTATTTTTCGTGCATTTTAATCCTTAGTTAGATATGCACTGTATCGTGGTAGCTGCTGGCAGTTACTCCTTGTTTAATTCCCTGAATATTGGCAACCTGTACAAACTGTGGCTCGCTGTTTAAAAACAAAACTTGAAAAAACTGATTATGATCATTACCAAGCAATGTTGCATTTATCACTGCTATTCATTTCGATACAGGCATGTTACCGAAATATCCACAAATCCATTCTTCAATTCTTCTGGTTTTTGAAGAGTGGTGAGGCTACTACTACAGCCTTATTTTTATGCATGATGTTCCTTGCAAATTCACTTAACAATGTACGTGCCTTGCACAACATTGATTGAGAGCAAGTTGAAGGCCGTTATGTCTGACAATCGCGCTCACAAATGCCAGACATGAACGCCATGAATGCCAAGGCGACCTTGATATACTATTCCCGACATACCTTCCCCGTTTTTCGCGGGCGTTTAGCTCAGAAACTAGAGCTCTTAGGTCTTAAGTAGGTCACAATTGTTAACAACACCGGAAGGTCTTCAATCTCACTATTTCAAGTCAATACCCATGTCAATGTGGAACACGCCCTTTAAAAGTACACCGATAAGTGAGCTTACTCCCTCACATCTGATTCTTGCTTCAGTACCTTCAAATGAGGCACATTCCCTTTAACGTTATTGAACCGGACTGTTGTTTTGATGTGTTCCCGATGTGCGTACAACTCATCAATCAGTCTTTGGCACCGTCAAAAGATGCAGAAAGCGCCACGCATCTGATCGGTCACGGCGACAGACTGGAGAGGGACTGGAGAAACTGCACATGATGCTAAATCAAATGTGCGTGTGCTCAAGTAAGGAGGCCACAGTTTCCCGGGATGACAAGGACATGAGTAAGGAGGCCACAGTTTCCCGGGATGGCTTCACCCACATGCATGCTGCGGAAGGACAACTAGCAAGAATCCGAGGCCGGTTCGCCGGTCGCCGACAGCCAGAAATCAAGGCAAACCAAAGCTGGTAACAAGCCGCGTCATTTGTTTCGTTGTTTAATGCCGCCTCTGGGAGGACTCGGTGAGACCGCACGGGATGACCCGGTGGAACGGGAGGTTCTCAAAGGCGGGACGGGCTTCCGCTGTCCGTGCCACGTGTATGCTGGGTGTATGTTCGTACCAGCCAGACTCAACGGTGGTAATCGTACGACTGCGCCGTAAACATGGCTCGGATGCCGGGCGCCATAACCCAGACGAGGCATGTAAGGCTTGCGCCAGTTGCCTACTGCTGCATCAGCGCGTAATACCAGTAACGGGTTTAGCTTCTCAGCCGTTTGCCAATTGGCGTTTCGACCATTCTCACCACCTCTGAGCTGGCGGTCCGAACACAGTGCATGTTGGACTGCTCGCTGTCAGTCACTTTTCTCGTTGACATGATGTCGCTCCAACGCCCTCTATATCGCACGATTCTGAGCAACCGCCTGAGCCCAGCGGACCAGGTACAAAGAGCACAAAGTGAAGTACACTCTGCATGGATCAGAAGGGCCTCTAATCTTTCCTCTTATCGTTCGCTGCTTCGTTTCATTTTATCACACAATGCATCGTGATATGGTTAAGGGAAGCTCATGTTCTGCTGTAATCAGATAGCTTACTGGTGATGGGAAGGGAAAACTGAAACAAATCGCTGCCTGCCACTTTGTGCATAAATCTGGGCCATTCCCACACTTTTACGTCAACTGCACTTTGGGAGACGCCATGAGATGAAACTGCAGGTAGAAACCATTTCTCACCCTTTTCCTGCTGTCTGTCCACCCGCCCAACTACCTGTCCCACTAACCAACGTCTGTCAACCCCAAACCCAACCTCTCTCTCTCTCTCTCTGTCATATATGCTCTCTATCGCCTTTCTATCTCTCCTATCGATCTATATCTCTCTCGCTTTCTCTCCTATCGCTCTCTTCTATCTATCGCTCTCTCCGCTCTATCTTCTCTCTCTCTTTCTCTCCTCTTTTCTCTCTCTCTCTCTCTTTCCTCTCTCTCCTCCTCTCTATCTCCTCTCTCTCTCTCTCTCCCTCTCTTCTCCTCTCTTCTTCTCTCTCCTCTCTCTCTCTTCTCTCTCTCCTCTCTCCTCTCTCTCTCTCTCTCCCCCTCTCTCCTCTCTCTCCTCTCTCTCTCCTCTCTCTCTCTCTCTCTCTCTCTTCTCTCTCTCTCCTCTCTCTCTCTCCTCTTCTCTCTCTCTCTCTTCCTCTCTCTCTTCTCTCTACTCGCTCTCTCTCTCTCTCTTCTCTCTCTCTCTCTCTCTCTCTCTCTCTCTCTCTCTCTATCCTCTCTCTCTCTCTTCTCCTCTCTCTTCTCTCTCTCTCTCTCTCTCTCTCTCTCTCTCTCTCTCTCTCTCTCTCTCTCTCTCCTCTCTCTCTCTCTCTCTCTCTCTCTCTCTCTCTCTCTCTCTCTCTCTCTCTCTCTCTCTCTCTCTCTCTCTCTCTCTCTCTCTCTCTCTCTCTCTCTCTCTCGCGTGACAGTGGTCCTGACGGTCTCCAGGGCGGTACCGCCAGCTGCCCAGGAGGTGTCTCAGCGTCGACACCATCTGCGGACCAAGGGAGATGCTGACGCCCGAGCGCATGCGCTTCTTCAACCAGACGGTCAAGGCGCTGACCGACGCCGTCCTCACTATGCAGGGTACGTTTCGCCGTGTGCGGCGGCGTGAACATGATGGCTGGCAGGTTTTGACATGCAGTCATCTATTGCGATGTTTTTGGAATGTGACCGTTGTTTCATCAATTTCTGCCGCATTAGTACTGCCCGGGAAGCATCTTGGCTTTTTTCCCGACGTGAAAGTGTTTTGGTCGTGTTTTCGGGAGCTGTATGGCTCCAACGCCGCCGGTAATTGCGCTGCATACGCAAGTAGAGGAAGTGAAATGGAGTATACTGTGAAAGAGGCTTTATTGTTTACGCGAGGGAGTGCATAGCTTTTTAAGCGAGAGACTGATTGGTTTTGCTTAGCTTGGCGAAAAGGGGCATCTTAGCTTTATCAAAGCTAGTGATTTGTCTGCCTCCATCAAGTCATCACTTGCCTCCCATTGCTTGCAGGCTCTTCCTCCAGCTCGGCCGTGATGGGCAGCTGGCTGCTGCTGCTGACCGGACTACTGGCCTCTTGCGTCTCCCACTAATCTGTCTCCTCGCCACGGTGCCCGGCCTGAGGAGATGTACAGGTCATCAACCATGAAGCGAACGGGTGCCTTTACTGGTCGTGGCAGCAACTGTTTATTTCCGACGCGCGGCTGATAACATGATAATTCATCATCTCTACGCCCCCTGTAGTGGCTCCACCATCCAGCCAACGGAAGTAATGCTCATTGCCACTGAATGACGAACAGCGCCCCTCATCTGGAGCAGTAAGCGTCAGCACTATTTCGACGAGCGATTGTCTGCAACGACAGACGCGTTCAGGCCAGTCACACGCGACAGCAGAGGCTCGTTTGCTTGAGAGCAGCCAGCGCGACAGCCTGTAGCGTATTGGCTGCGATGTGACAGCTTGCACGCGTTTGCGCTGCGGCGGGGGTGGTCGTTCTCGGCGATACCACGGCGTTGCAAGTGTTAGCAACAGAAGCCAGTGTGATCATTAGCGGTGATGGCGCCGATTACGACGAAGCCGGATACGGCGGTGTGTGTTGCCGTTGTCTTCAGTGGTGGTGTGATGTGAGCGTTTCCGTGTCATCAGCAGCGCCGTGACCATTGTCTTAAGTGGTGGTGTGATGTGGGCGTTTCCGTGTCATCAGCAGCGCCGTGACCATTGTCTTTAGTGGTGGTGTGATGTGAGCGTTTCCGTGTCATCAGCAGCGCCGTGACCGTTGACAGCAGCGCTTGCCGTTGTCTTCAGTGGTGGTGTGATGTGAGCGTTTCCGTGTCATCAGCAGCGCCGGATACGGCGGTGTGTGTTGCCGTTGTCTTCAGTGGTGGTGTGATGTGAGCGTTTCCGTGTCATCAGCAGGGCCGGGACCGTTGACAGCAGCGCATTTGACACATTGGCCATTGGGACTCACGGCTGCACAGATGCATTGGCTGTTTACAGCGACTGGTTTCTTTGAACACATCCCGCTTGTTGTGGCGGGGTGGACACCCTGGACGTTTACTCTGGCGGGACCACTGCGGCGAGCGTTTGCAGCGGCCGCCGCCAGGGCCATGAATCAGGCCGTTGAGGCGGGCCGTGACAGCACCGGTCCCACAGGCGCTGATCACGTGCTGGGCGTCGCCGTCGGCACGCTCGGCACGGCCAGGCGATCGCTCGCCCGGAGGCGGAGCCGCGGCGTCCGCTCTACTCGACGCCACGGCAGACTGGTCCACGCCGGCCACCTGCCTGCAGAGGATGCGGCAGGGACCCCGGGGACGCGATCCCCAATACCAAAGCAAAGTCGGGCGCGTTCTTGAATAGTCTTGCCATCGTTTAAAACGAGAAGCAAAAGCATTGAACATTCTGTCAGAGTTCAGCCATGTTCGGGACCGGCTTCTCCAGCTCCTGCATTATTTTCGATTCCATTTACGCAGCGCAGGGAAATGTTCTTCCAGTGGCACGTGACTGTAACAAAGGCAAACACGGCCGAGTGTTTTCAACGGAGCGCTAGTGTTCCGCCGGGGCGTCACTGTATTGGGATGACCGTTGAGCTAAAGCGCAGACGCAGCATGACAAACGATCGCTGAGTGTGTGGTCTGGCAGGAGCGTGGCGACACAGCGCCGGCCCGGTGTTGACATAGAGACGCTTTTTGTGCAGCCCCGTCACGATGACGGCTCTCTAGAAAACGGATCCGGCCACCGCTGGGAACCGGCTAGCTAGGCTTGCGTGAAGTTTCGCCGTCTTCCTGAATTCTGTCCCCGTTAAAGGAAAGCGAACAATTTTTGTCATGAAACGGTTAGTCGTTGCGTTTGTGTCACCAATGTTTCGCTGTTGCTATGTAAGCAAGCGTGCTTGCGCACAGGCGCCTTAGTAAGCCTTGGCAGTCTCTCCAAAGCGTATATTCTAAAAACAGAGTGGTTCACGTCTGCGTCATTGTCACCTGTCTCTGTAAAGATTAGCAGAGCATGACTGCGCTGGCGAGGCCTAATTTCTTTCCTTCGCCTATCCTCCCGATGCACGTTCAGCGTGGGCACGTGTGTATTCCGTGAAAACAACGCTTGAACAAATACATTATTGCTGTCTACATGGAAACTGGTTCAGCAGCCCTGGGTACGACTTGATACGAATAACGGATCGAACACAAACTAAATGAGGCATCGGTGCGCTCTGCCTGTTTCCAGATATTGCTGCGCTTCGCCCGTTTCCAGATAATGCTGCGCTCCGCCCGTTTTCACATCTCGCTGCGCTCTGCCTGCCACCAGGTACAGAGGGGTCCTGTCGGGTCGGACGTCGGGGTCACAGGGGCTCAGCCGGGCCCCTGACCGACGGATAATCAGCACGGGTCACACAGGGAGCAGGCCGACAGGCGGCGGTCACACGAAATCACCATGGTTTTTCAAACGCAGCGGCAGCGGCCGCTCGGTTGACGGTGGCGGTCGCACCGCGGGATGCTGGGGTCGGGTGGGGTATGGCACGAACGGGGGCGCCTGGCACCGCCGCCAGCACCGTCGCCCGGCAGGCATCGGTCGCGACCGTCCCGTTCGGCGGGTTTCCGGCCGTGACGTCACAATCCGGGCAACGGCGGCGGCGGCGGTGGCCGTGGCCTCAGATCACGATCCGCGCTCAGAGCAGCTTCTTCACTGCGTTCTCGACGGCCGGGATCGGGTCGTCGCCAGGTCCGAACCGCGCTACGGGCTGGCCCTTACGATCCACCACGAACTTGGTGAAGTTCCACTTGATAAAGTTCCCCAGCGTGCCGCCCTGCTTGTTCTTCAGGTAGTCCCAAAGCGGATCAGTGTCGCTGCCGTTCACCTTCACCTTGGCGAACATGTCGAAACGCACGTTGTAGTTGGCGACGAACTTCTTGATGTCATCGGCCGTGCCCGGCTCCTGGCCGCCGAACTGGTTGCACGGGAATGCCAGGATGCTGAGACCCTGCTCGCTGTACTTGTCGTGCAGCTCGACCAACTGCCGGTAGTTGGTCGGGGTCTTGCCTCATTTGGAGGCCACGTTGACCACCACGCACACCTTACCCTCGTACCGCGAGAGCGGCACCTCGTTGCCGTCGATGTCACGGCACGTGAAGGCGTAGATGGACGCCGCGTCCTTCGCCGCTGCCATGACGGAGAGGTGACGCGCGCCGAGCAGAGCACAACCAGTACCCACCACCGCTACACCCGCCGCCGTCCTGAAGCGAGCGAGCCCGGCTATCAATGCCGTAACCATGGCGCCGCCCGGCAGGGTCGGTGCAAACACACACACACACACACAAGAGCCGGTTCGATGGCACCAGCCTCCGTCTACGGGTTCGCCTTTGGCACCGTGCCAGGACGCGCCGTCCGACGAATTTTCATTGGTGCAGCAGCCAGACCAGGGACTTCGCGGCATGGTCCGGCCAACGCCAACTTAAGCGCCCGCCAACACCCGCGCTCTCAACATCTGCGGCCGCCCCCTCCCGCGCCCTTCGATCGGCGGGCCACGTGGTCCAGATAGGGTCGCATGGAGCTCGGGTCGCAGTCTCGGCCGTGTGAAGACGCGAAGCGCAGTAAGCCCCGGCTGTGGCATGGAAACATTTATTGTTCGTGAGGAAAGTTGATATTGCGCACCTCGGTCGATGCTGGCCACGAATTTCGGCGCGAGAGGAATGTTCAACCACACGCAGGGGCGGATCAGTGAATACCATGGGCAACCAATTTTTAAGCGATCTAATTGCTTGTCACCATACGCCTGTCGTGATGACGCAACCAGTGCAGTCCTGGAATGACGCGGCCTTGAAACGAGGTCCTCATACGATTGTGTATACGGTTTGTCGGGACTGTACAGGGAAATACTTGTTTGAAGCGTACAAAATGCCAGACTAACACAGACAGCGTTAAGCAGTGCCTCCTGTTTCTACTTTCTACCTCTTTGCCATCATGCCAATCATGTACGTGGGCCTGGATGAGCATCTTGGCTAAACCTTGAACGCGGGGATTGGCAGCGAACAAAACGAAACTGTAGACGCCCCCTGACGACGCCCTCGCGTAACACTCCTGACCTCGGGTGGTGCTAATTACCCGCAGGTTCCCGTCCCAAGCTGCGCACCACGGGCTGGGATTCTACACTCTGGACTGGACAGAATGCGACTCCAGTTCGCTGAAACTTTCCGAAGTAGTTGCTTCCACTGTCGTTCACAGAGCCAGGCAATTTCAAGGGAAAGCTGACAACCGCGGATGTTGCCAGGGTAACTATGCGAGCAATCTAAAACACGTCTGCTGAAGAACATGGCGAAATTTCCGGTTCCCTATACCGACAATTTCACACTTCGAAAGAGCCTGCGGCGCGATTTCTCGACAAACGCCAGTTCTGATGTAACGCGTCTGAACGCCGGCAGCAGGCCGCATCACACAGCCGAGCGGGCCACCTCACTGCAGGCGGACCCCGTGAGCGTGCGCATCGTGTTGTGCATCAGGCCCCACACATCCATAGCACGTCCGCTCAATTGAGCTATTCGCGAAGCAAACGTTTTTGCGAGCACTTACAACGCAAGCTCAATACCACGTGAGCTCTTCGATGCGAACATTATTCACGTAGATAAGACAGCAGTAATTAGCTTTATTCGTCGGACAAAAGCCAGAAGAATGAAGATATAGATGAGTTGATATTTTGGCAACATGCCTCTATCGAAAACAAAGAATGAATTCACAATTGCCTGCTGGTGATTTTACTCCACTTTTCTTCTTTTTTTTAACAGCGAGCCACAGTTTTTACAGAACACCAGCATTCAGGGGATTAAACAAGAAGCAATTGCCAGCCATTACCACGATACAGTGCATATGTAAGAATGATAATACGCGAAAATGCATGTGCACGCAAAAGCGTGCAAGCAAACAGGCACCACGCATCATGCTTCATTCAAACATGCAAGCAAATTGCAGTAAATGAGCATCATGCATCACGCATCATTATATATGCGTGATTTCAATTGAACAGGCACCGCAGGTCACGCGTCAGGCATCTCTTACACATGTTAACGATTGTAAGCCAGCACACATCTCACGTTCGCATAATCGGCCATGATAACCTGAAAAACCGAGTAGGATCATCGGCAGGCAATTTTGAATTCACTTCTGCTCTTGTTTCGATGCAGGCATATCACTACAATATTAACCCATCTATATCTCCATTCTCCTGAGTATTTCTTCTGTGTTGTCTACGCAAGCCCAATACCGTTGTCTGTATGCCCAATGACAAAAGCACCGTCCAGCTGCTCGCGACCGAACTGTTCGGAGGCGAGCCAGATCGCGACGCAGCTATAACACGGGCAAAAGCCGCGCGTCGGACCACGACGGAGCAGCGTATACACCGAGTACTTTCAAATAAAACCATATGGTCGTTATTTGTCTATATTTCGACTACACGTTTGCGTAGGAAACCAAATCTACCTAATTTGCGTTAACAAGCGTCATTTACAAAACACATACATCAAAACAGGAAGGAAAACTTCACAATCGCTCACAAAGCAATCGTTGGAGATCTACACCTGGAATCCGTGTTACAATTACACATCCACCAATTTTCACCCTGTCCATATGCGAGCTTCCCGCGGTGTCGTTAGAAGAGTTACTGGTGAGACCGACGGTGTGCCTAGCTTGGACACAAAGAACAAGCATATCCATTAGGGTCAGGCATGCCGGTAACTTCGTATCAAAATGGCAAGGAATGGTTGAAACACACTATCACTCGATTTTAATGGCAGTGCCTTCATCACGAATGACAAAAGTACCCGTTCAGCCACGCGCGGTACCGTTATAAAACAGCGGCCGGCTCCCACCACGTCGGCATGTCCCTGATGAGCGGTTAGACCCCGGCACCGTCATCACCCGCCAGTCCGCGGCCGCCGGCTAGATAGCCAGCGCCGAAGTCAACCGGCTCAGGTCGGCCACTAACTTCTGGTTGTCGCCACCGCCGAGAGATGGCGCTGGGCCCACCGCCACCGTCTTAGCCTGAGCGACGGTGCGCGCGTCCTCGACCGCCTGCTGCGTCTGACGGTAGAGCCCGTCCGACTGGGCGAGCAGCTGGCCGAGGCGGCCCTGTGGCGGCGGCGGCGTGGCGGCCGCCTCCAGGCGCGGCCGCAGCGCGCCCAGCCGCCGGCGCGTCTCCGCCAGCAGGCAGCAGGTGCGCTCGCACAGCTCGCGCAGTGCCGCCAGCTGGCGGTCGTCGGCGCGCGGCCGGCCACCCTGTAGCCGGCTGAGCCGCTCGTCCAGCTCGGCCAGCTGACATCCGGCCTGCGCGGCCAGGCGGGCCAGCCGGGCCGGGTCGGCCGGCTCCGGCTCGCCGCCCAGCTCCTGCCGAATGTCGGCCGGGATAAGGTCGGGACGCGAGCGTAGCGCGTCCTGCACCTGCTCCGAGCGGCACAGCTCGCTCAGCAGCGCCTGGTCGTCAGCCGGCAGCGCGACGGGGTGCAGCCGCTCCTGACGCAGCACGGCCGCCACGTTGAGCAGCGGCGCCCAGAAGGCGGCGCCTCGGCCGGCCGTCTGCGCCTCAGCCAGCAGCGCCGTGTCGGCGCGGCAGAAGCCTAGGCCGGCCAGTGCACTGCGCACGGCCGCCGCGTCGGCCGGGTCCGGCAGCCGCTCGTCGAGCGCCGGCTCGATCTGCAAGCAACACCAGTGCAGCAGCGCCGTGCGATGGGGGCTAGGCTGCAGCAGAACCTCGCGCAGCCAGCCGGTCGAGGCGTCCTCCACAAGCGGACAGTGCAGCGAGCGCAGCGTGGCGCACACCTGCGCCAGTGGGTCGTCCATGCCTGTCGGTCAGGGCCAGCCAAGCGGCCGTCAGTGGCGGCGGCGGTGCAGACGCGCACTAAGCCTGACATGATGGCCAGTCACTGGTGCAAGCAGCCTTTGACTCATGAGGAATGCCTGAACATTAATGTCAAGGGAAGTGTGATGCTGGACACATCAAAGTCAGGGGTAGATGACTGCTGGGTGGACAGGTATGCTAATTTCATATGAAGCTGTGAAAGTATGGCCAACAGAGTAAGACAGACTCTATGAGTACCTGACCCAGCATTAAGACAAGAATTACATCAGCAGTGAACTGTCCCCAGACCCCAGCCAGACCACTTTGGGCCAAAGAGGATTGTACATCATCATCAGTATCAGGATAGAAATCATGCTTGCTGTGCATAATGCCTACCTGCTGCCAGCTCTCAGACACAATCATTCAGTGCTAATTATAAAAAAGTGGTACACTTGGCATGTTGATGGTGGCAATGGACCATGAACAGCATGCACAGCACACAACTGATGGAGCACAGATGTGCAAGAGTCCCAGTGATGAATAACACCCGACAACTTGTGCTTAAATCATAGCACATGAAAGTGCGTGATTAAAATTTGCCCTTAAGACATTAATATACCAGCCTGCCCTTTCCTGCTGCCCAGCTCTCAGTCCACAGGTAAACAGAAATGTGCACACTCATTCACTGCACACATCAACACTGGTCCATGTATGCACAGAAACAGGATCTTGAATATGCTTCCATGCAACGTCAGGGCATTATCAAAGTGATCCTCACCACAAAGATAGCTTTTACTGTAACTGAGCCTTACCAAAGCTGAACCAATATGGTATCTGATGAACAAACAGTGCATTTGGGCTGGCTTTTCCTGACATTATTGTATGCCCAAATTTGGACCCAACAGAAATATTTTGCTTATAGGGGCAATTCTGACAGAACAAGTTAATCTCTACATGTGCTTGTTTGTGTGACTGATGTTGAACATGCATAGTTGTAGAATAGGGGTAGGCTGTCATACATTTTTGAATAATTCACATAAGCATAACATAGTATAACACAGAGTTATACTCTCTAACTGTCTCAGTACAAATTATGTCAAAGGAGCATTAACTTACATACCAGTCAATTCCCCTGCACAAACACTATCATCACCCACCACCATCACTTCCAAAACATATCCAACACATTTGGCAGTACATTTGCATTAAGTCTACAGCAAACATACAATAAACCACGCATATACATGCTGTGATTCAGCCCATTAGAATAGTCACATAGGGAAGGGCTGGTGTAGACAAAGGATTCAGAATTGCTACACTAATTAGAGCAGAATGATCCGATGGGTGCCCTAGCAACATGCATTTTTATACTGTAGGTTACACTGATATGTATGATGACCGGCACAAGAATCAGCTTGTAATTGCTACCAATTATCCCACCACTGCGCAGTAAAAATTCTCTTTTAAGAGTGCACAACAATAATGAGGCATATATCCTATGTAAGGTGTTTCAGCCGATCCATGAATCAATTAAATTACCAAGGAATATCGCCTGTTCATAACGTGTAAGCAATATGACTGAAAGAAACTAGAATTTACGGACATGGATATGCAAAATGCATTATTATCAGATTCCAGTGAATGATTGCCAATAGACAAGTGAGGGCATTCAGTTGTGATGTAAGGAAGCTCAGAAACTTAGCATCATGACCCAATATTAATTAGACCAAAATGCAGTTGAACCCACAATACAATATAATACAACTCTGGTAGAAAAATGTAGAAAGGCCAGACCACACTACCAAACAGAACAGCATAAACTGATAAGACACTTTTTATAAAACCATATGCACCATTCAGACCTAACCTTTTACATGCATAGAAGCCAAACAAATCAACTTGATCATAATTGGGTTTAAGGGTGCTTAAACTGCAACAGCCATTTTGCACTTGAAAACAAGTCCACTCAGTATTGTAAAATTCCAATATGCACTATAATGTGCACTATAATAAAATTAACATACCAACATGCACTATAATATGCATTCACACTTTTTTAGTATGTGCAAAGCCTAGTTGCAGACCAAAATGCAAACACATGCCTATGCATGTGTTTGCTCATGACACACGCTCCTTAGTGCCTGTATAAATATTGCAAAGGACAATATATAAATCTGCATCAACTTAAGCAAGGGCCTTAGATGGACATAAGCTGATAATAGCATAACCATAAAAATAATGCTGCGCATCATAATAAACTGCCTGAATCATGTGACCTCTTTAAATCAGTAAATATAAAATAAAAATTAAACACACAAGTGATAATCAGAGCATAACAAAAGTGGATCATCTTACCACTCAATAGGACATAAGATATGACAATATGACAATCATACACAGGGATGGTGTTCATGTTTCATGAGGGGCAAAAGATGGTAGTGATCTTTGATTTAATGGATCAGCAGAGCAGTCAGGATATTTAGTCATGGCCAATCAATGGATATATTTTGCCTTTATCTCATTCATTGGTGAATGCTTCCAACACAAATAAGAACATTACTCAGAATTACCAACGAAAAGTTGGTTACATCACAAATGTGGCAAAATAAATGTGGAAAAATAGAACGAAATAAATGGTTACATCACAAATGTGGAAGACTGATGCTTCCGATTGGCATATTAGTCCCATTCTGACTTGATCCCATATTCCATGGGATCAAGTCAGACTCTTAGAAATGTTCCCAAAAAGTCGCGAAATATGCAGAATGCCGACCTCGTACATGGATACCTATTTGGGTAACTGAACAAGTCGGCAAAGCAATAACACTGTGTGGCTAGACACTGACCACTAAAAGTATGTGTACCGCTTAGGAACACTCCTAACCTGCAGTTTCTCCAACCGAGAGGCCGGCACCCACGCACAGAGCACGCACCACAACCCGCCAGGAACGCCACGCCCAAAACGCCGGTCCCCGACCCCGAATACGCGCCTCCCACTCCCTGCAATACCCGTTTCAAAGTTTGTTGCAAGCAAGGCGATATAAAGTGTCGCAAGTGCTGGGCGTTCGAATGGTGCTCACACTATGCATCCCCGTTGGTGCGCTGCCGAATTGGCGCCGTGCAGTGGCCGATGCCCAACGTAAGTCAGAGATGATTGGTCGTTAGCCGCTACATACCAAGCACTTTGCGTAGCTTTGGCAGTAAAACAGCCTCTAGTAGGTATCTTAAGCGCGCCAATGGTTTAATATTGTTTATACTAATGACGCCATCGAAGATGCGTTTGGATAATCAAAGACGAGAAGCTCGAAGGTCTGAGGATGCGACTGGAATATAAATCCAATTCGGATCGTTTAACACTGGTCATATGGGCTAATGTGTTTGATGACAAGGTATAGGATATAACAGTAGTTTAGCTTTATATCACTTTTTGGAACAATAGCGCCATAGTCGTCTTTGTGTAAAATTGTTATAGAACACGCCTTAATGGACGAGGCGTATCTTATAAGTTAATGCATGCGCTCAGACCAATGGTGAACATGCACTAGGTGGCTTCTAATTCAACCCTATCGTTGTTCAGCCTGACTCAAAGTAGTGGAACTCTCGTGACAATACATAGCTACGTAGTTTTATACATTGCCGGCAGTCTTCGTGTTGCGGGTACTCGGCGCTTATGGCAGGGTGAAATAAGAATCTAGTCCTGAAGTATGGTGCCGATGTTCTCACCTTGTGTGTCCAGGATTGTGGGAGGATATTGCAGGAATGGTAAGAATGGTGCAGGGGTATTTCAGTTGGGGGGGGGGGGGGTCATCAATTCTTGATATCTTCAGTTTTTCAAAACTTTGAGAAAATGTTACACATAGCCTAAACTAACACTATTTTGGTGAATGGAAATAATAGGTCTTGGTTTTGTCTTGAAGAGTAGTATCAGCCATAATGCTTTTTGTGTATTTTGTTTGCTAAATGGAGAAGTGTGCTGCCTATAGCAGTCTTTTCCACTTTTAATGATGCTATTAGTTGTAAGAGCTTGTTTTGTTGCATCGGGTGCTTCTTTAATATCTTCAAATGTGAAACATTTCCTGTGACAATGAATCTAAGTATGTCTGTGTCTATATAAAATTGCATTGTACATTTAAAACTGCCCTTGTTTGTGGAACTTTCACAAAAATGGAGCATGTGAAAAGTGGAGATGAAAATAGCCAAATAATGTGAGATTAAATGTGAATTTTATAGGTCATCATTACATCAGTGTGAACATGATGTTCAGAAAATTACTGAATGGAATACCACAAAGTCATTAGGACATGCCTACAGCAATACCCATGTCATTTTATGTTTAAGTGACGGTAAAACCTCAGTATATTGTATTGCAATCTAGCAGAGGGATCACATATGTGAATTGTGATCAAGTGAATTGTATTCAAGCTCATTCATAACATAGCATCCATGTATGTTTGAAGATGTGTTGAATCAGCTGATATAATTAGCAGTGTGTTCAAATGGGCCTAGATTTAGTTTTTTTTTTAGCTCTAATACAATACTTTTATAATATTATGTAACAAAATTATTATGTTTGTCATGCAATCATGGAGCAAGGTCCTTAAACATTTTGGGTGTTTAAAAGTGTGGTCATAAATACATTTTAAGGCATCCAACCTGTACAAATGTTTCTGCTGCACACTTTTCAAGTTGTGTGTATGCTCACCAGCCTCTGGTTCCAGTTGCCCTCCGGCATTTGTCTTCACACGCAGCATCCACCACCAAGAATGAGGTGCCTGTTCCAGCACAAGAGTCTCAAGAGGAGGCATTGGCAACCAAAGAGAAGGAGACTTTCTCCCTCCCTGACTACAGGCATGTCATGGAAGGCCAGACCCTGTCATACCACTAGATATGGATCTGCCTGTTGGAACATAGTTATAGTCAAATTTTGATGGCATTTGCCTTGTTATCACCAGCATGCCAGAATGCTATTATATTATGGTCCATAAAAGCATGTGCCAACCATGGACTCATTCAGTTTTGTGACACTGATGTATACCAAGAGCAATGTTATTGAGTTACCCCCAAGACCACAGGCCAGTATTATGACAGGTATCATGGCATGTCAGCTTGATGTACCCTGGTACTTGATGTGATCAAGTATGTGCCACATATGTCTACAAGCAACATTTACCCACATCATTGATCATGGACCTTTGTTATTATGATTATGATTATGATCATTATTGTTATTGCAGACCTTGGCAAAATCCAGCAAGTGGCTATTCTAATGCCGTGTCAGTATCTACCACATAGATCAACACAGAACACGCAACACATGCAAATGAGATGCAATGCCAGCGATACGCATACAATGTTATAAAACATGAGCAACTTATGATACAATCAGCACCTGCACGTCATGGCCAGTTGGTCAGTTATGGCCAAGCCTCTGTTGTGACAGTACCATGATGCACCAGGTTCATCTATCCTGAGTTTCTGCCGAACCCGGACCTGACCCTACGCCACCGGCTGGCCGAACGCCTGGAGCGCGTTGACATGCTGCGCCGTCGCTCGCGTATGGAGATTCCCGAGTTCTATGTCGGTGAGTCCGCCAGCGGCCGAGCGGAGCCTCGGCAGTGATCTGCCAGCCAGGGCAGGCAAGGGCCCCCAAGGCGTCAAAGGTGGAGCCTTCACAGTGTGGGACGTGACGTTTGACAGCGGATAAATATTTTTAAAGTATCCCCCCAACGTTCTTTATTAGATCGCCGCTTGTAGGCCTGCGCCGTCCTGATCTGACATCAAGCTGCTCAGAGCGATTCACATAGCTTCGCTGATGTGTGCCTGTCCACTTGCCACGTGACGGAGGCGACCTTCGCGATAAGCAGCGAACGTCAGGCCTGGTGCCGGCGCCGGGGTCCGCCGCCCTGACAGCGGCAGGATCGCGCCGCACCGCGCCGCTGCTTTGGTGGAGCAGCGGTAGGCGCGACCGCTCGGCCCGGTTCTCCCGCGCGTCGTCGTGCTTCCGCGGGGCGGCGCGGCGCCTGACCGGGTGTGCCCGCGCCCCCAGGCAGTGTGCTGGCCGTCACCGTGTCGGACCAGCAGGCGCCCGGGAAGTTGAGCCGCTTCGTGGGCATCTGCATCCTGCGAGAGGGGCACGGCCTGCGCGCCACCATGACGCTGCGCAATGCTATCGACCAGCAGGGTGAGCTGGAGCCGGCGCCGGGCGGCCGGGCGCAACGGCGCCGGAGAGAAGGCTGCCCTGCTGGCAGAGGCGGCAGGCCGGGTAAACAGTGCTTCGCGTAGATGCCACAGTCAGCGCAGAGTCATGGTGCTGATGCTAATGCCGCCAGTGTCCTGCGTGGGTAGGCACTCTGTCGATGCGCGGAGGCGAACGCGCTCGGCCGGAATGCGGTCCAGCCGTGGCCGGTCGGTGACTGGGTGCCTCGAGGGGTGGCGACCGAGTCTGGAGTGTCCCGTCTGACGGCCTATTCCCTCCACCCTTCCCCCCCCCCTCCCCGGCAGGCGTCGAGATATGTTACCCACTCTACAATCCGACCGTGCAGAAGGTGCAGGTGCTGCGGCTGGAGAAACGCCTCGACGACGACCTCCGCTACCTACGCGACTGTCCGCTCGAGTACAGCACGTTCGCATTCGACATGGAGCCGGAGCTGGTGTCCGAGAGCGGCGAGATCCCCGTCAACACAGTCCAGGTGGGTGGCCGGACCGGGCCTGGCCAGGCCGCCGCCGCACCCGCTCGTCGGCAGCGCTCGAACTGGACGGTTGCGGGGCTGTTCTCCAGGAGCAATCAGCGTCTGGGTTGGTGAAGAGCTTATACCTACTGAAATATCGTTTTTAGCGTAAATATTTTAGGTTTGTGTGACACTGCCCCGATTCATTAGGCGTTTGTATTGCTGTTTGTAGTGCCGTTTCTATTGCCGCCGTAATTCCGCTTTGTGATTTCAAAAAATGTATTCCGCCGTAATTCCAAGTTTTGGTACCAATACGGATGAGAACAGTTTCTTTTATATCTGATTAGGGTGAACCCGCTACTTTTGGAGTAAAGGTCTTGGTGACTGGAAAAGGTTTTTAACAGAGTGGCTAGTGCTTGAACACAAAATTGTAGAATTGGCATTCATTGTCATGTGTTCGTGATTTGTTTTAGCACGAGAAACTGCTTTTGGGAAACAGAAGGGGCTGCTCGTGTTATACAGTATGCACTTGAAAACCTTCGGTGGCATAATTTTTCAGCGAGCGTTTGCCTTTATGTGCGGAGAATGTTCGGTCTCGTGGCAAGATTTGCTTGGAAGATTCGCATCTGATACAAGTGCATACAAGTTCGGGTCTGGTGTGTTATTTTTGCAGACGTTGTGCCTGTGTCATGATATGGCATGCGACCGTCTCCATAGCGTTTCCCGGCACCGCCGGGATGCTCGTTGATCGATCGCCGTATAGAAACGCTCGAGTGGTTAGCTGATCACTCCTTGAGTAAAGTGTGGCCGGTAAGAACTCGGCAGGGACGTAGTGCAGCCCGGGTCCTCTCATGATGACGCCAGCGTCGCCAGGCGCCAGCTCTGACGCCCGCACGGCCGGTGTCGGCAGGTGCCGCTGCGGCCGCGGCCCTGGACCTGGCGCTGGGAGCGGGCCGGCATGAAGGGGCTGATCGTGCCTCAGCTGCGCGAGGACTTCTACCAACGCGCCAAGAAGGTGTCCGAGCCCTGGGTCAAGTACGACCTGATGCGCGAGTACCGCCAGTCCGTGCCCGAGGAAGACCAGCAGCGCATCTTCGCAGACGTGCACGAGCATGTGCAGTCGCAGGAGACGGACCAGCGCCGCGTGCGCCGCCGCCGCGAGTTCGTGGCGCCTAAGAAGGCGTCGTGAGGGCGGCGATGCGTGGGTGGCGGTCGCGGTGAGCTGAATAGATGGCGTTGTGGAAGGTCGGTGTGTTGTCGGCTGTAGGCGGCGGCCGGGCGCCGGTGCGCATCGAACCTCGCCGCTGGATCGTCAGCGGGCTGCGACGGCCTGGTCGGCAGTCAATGTCAGACGACGGATAATCGGTGAATAGAGGTTTTCCATCGTGTCGCGTGCGTCGCGTGCTTTTCTATAGAGTAAATCTAAATACAGTGGCTCCACCGAAGGGCCGTTGCAGGTCTGAGAACATCGTGTACGTAATTCAGTCCACGTGGCTGGCCAGGACCCAACGTGAAAGGGCGAGGTTCTCTTAAGCGACTAGTAAGGTTCAGACAGTCGTCTGATCGTGGGATGTACAAGCGATAGCTCGGTGGGGTATGTGTCACGTACATGCTTTCTCCGGGTAATGCTGGGCATCACAAAGTAGTGATCTTCGCGAGTATGACGGGCCATTCACACTCACGCTTAACCTCTTAGTTTAACGTCTTCTCATTCAAAGCAAGTGTCGCAAACTATGTCGCTTATACCATTAACGAAGCAAGTCATGCGTGGAGATCTGGATGGTTGCTCTGTATTTAAGTAGGGAAGTGGTGAGCACTACAAATTCGTCCGACGTAAGAATGGAGCGGCCCATGGCAGACGAGACGATGTCCCTGGCATGGCGCGACGCCGAACCCGCAAGCCCTTCATTACCCGTCCAGGAGCAGGCCATGAGGACCACGAGCCGCGATCAGTTAAAGTGGGCTGCATCCGGTGAGAAAAAAATGGGGGGGGTAGGTTGTCGGGGCTTTGGTTCAGCCCCCCCCCCCCCCAATAATTTGCAGAAATTGACACCCCTACAGGAACTTCATCTAAACTGAGTCAGTTTCGTCGCCTGTTGCTTTTATGCAAGATGCAATTTGAGAATCTCGTGATTGCCATTTGGCGTCGTTGAAAAATCCGAATGATGAGCGTAACAACATTCCTGAAAAAAATGAGAAGCTAACACTCCTAGTGACGCGGGCGGCTAAACAAAATCGAGTGGAACAAAACGGCGGCGACGATATAACTCGGAAAGTCTCCACGTAACATCTGCAAGCAAAAACTTTAGGCTTGAGAGATTTGAGACTTTTGAAACTGACTTAGGGCTACCAAATTTGGAACTGCAGGAGAGAATCAAGTGTGGGACATCCAATGGTAAAGGTTTGGCAGTGATCATTTTGATGAGTTCTGAGCTAAAATTGCCTGCAGGCGAGAACTCTGGACTTTGTCAAATTTGACCTTTGACCCGATTAAGGTCACCAAATTTGGAATCGCAAGAGGGAATCAGGCATGGGTAATCCAATGGTGAAGATTTCACAGCGATCGGTGCAGTAAGATATGAGATCTGAATTGCCTGCACTTGCATGTACATTTTTTCCTTCGCGTTTTCGAAGTGATTTACTCCAGGCTAGGTCTTAATATAGCCTTCCCATGGCTCACCTCATTGAACAAAATCGATTGGTGGAGGTGCCAAGGCGAACAGACGAGCTGTTTCGGAGAACTTGCGTATCTGCGTCATATGCCGGCTTTTTTAGACCTTACCGGTATCCGTGCCGCGTAGAGATTAGTGCTGTGCGCCACTTTACCCGCATTCCAAGCCATAGGCATTGGGGTCTTTCAGTGGGGCAGGCACGGAGCCATGGATAAATAAAGGACGGTTGACAGGTGAATGTCGCCATAGTCATAGTTACATTTTGAAGGTGAGATGCTAAGATGTCTAATATATTTATGTTGTCTCATTATTTATGGCGTCTGATGGCTTAAAAACGTCAGATGAACAAGTCGATGCGGTAAGATCAGTTATCAATGTGGACCATTTCTGATTTTGTGAAACTACGCCTCTTGTTCATAAAAACCTTGAAAATTTGGAGCTGGACTTAACATATTTTAAAAACGTATTTTTGTCTATGCAACCATCAGGATGGAGGATGACTGCATTATGCCATGTACTAGATATGCTTTGTACTGTTCCAAAATTTTTGGGATTGTGTGCACCAGACTTTTTTACATTAATGGTCCTGGAAGGTAAGAATTGTAAATATGCTGGAAAAGTCACTTGGGATCTCAGCTCAACTGAACCCACACCTAAAATCCAGTCCCCACAACTGACAAGGCTGCACAATCATGCATTTATGCAAATTAAAGCAATTCTGATGACTCATTGGGCTGATTTGGAAGATATTCATGGATTCTTCTCACTGAATGGCTCTAGACATTTCTTTGGTCACTAGCAAATAATCCAGGCATGCCCATCACCCATACAGCTCCATTAAAACAGCAGAAGGCTGAAGGTACATAACTCCTCACATGCATTTAGAGGTCTCATTGTCTGAAACTTGGGTGTTTTTTGTGCTTTTAGCCCCGAGACCATTTTTATCCAGAAACATACATTGGATAGAACACAGAAATTGCTCTCTGTGAGTGATGTGAGATGAAGGCAAGCTGTTCCCAAAACTTTCACAGCATAACTGGCAACACTCATGTAACTCAACAAGGGATACTGCTTGCAGGTTGCAGCAAAATCTTTCAAACATATCATACACAACATTTCCTTTGAATGCACCCAGTGCCCATGTCTGTTGCTGCTCACCAGTAGATGTTTAAGCCACCTACCATCCACTGACGACACTGACACCCTCAGATGCGGGGCCCCGAGCCTGCACTCAAAACAACAGCGTCTCATGACTGGCCAGGGAGAGACAAGAGAACACAGAACATCTTGTATATGTCACGATTCAACATTTCTGGATTGCACGTGAAAATCATTGGAACAATAAATTGGAGATGAAAGTACATGATGTCACACTGATATATACCCCTAAATATAGGGTGAATTTATCATAGATCGGTGAAAATTATTTTTAATCTTTGTTAAATGGTATCCTTATGAAATTTGCATTTGAAGCTATCAAGAATGGGGAATGTATAGAGGGTATAATGGTGATGTCAAGCACCATCCCAAACACTCGCTGTGGCACGCGGAAATCCACAGCTCCGCGAGTCTCCAGTTCTTTGGGAGAGTTTAACATTGGAGAGAAGGCATATTCTTCACGAATTCGGAGCCTAGTACGTTAGGAAATATGCATAAAAGGAGCATTACATAAAGCACAACATTTTTCTATTGATTTACAGAGCGTCACCACATAACTGTGATCTGGGTATAAAGCTAGGATGGGGTTTCTTGTTCTTTGTTCAGCGGAATGTTTGGTTTTGTGTTCATAAAGTTATTGAAGTTTTTTGGGATCCACCTTTTATTTGAGCTGGGGTTTGCTAACAAAATTCTCCTACAAAATCTTTAAGATCCCAAAAAGCAATATCAAAACTGATGAATAACTGACAGCGGCCCTGTCGTGGAAGACTGCTATTTCGTGCGCTTCAGTTACATAGCCCTCTGGCTTTTTTCGAGTAGACGCGTATGTAGGCTTGGTGGGCGGTGTAAGCGCGATTGGTTGGTAGCGTAGATAAAGTCAATGGATAAGTTCAGCTCAGTGTCATACATGGAGAAACACATTGTATCGGACTTAACATAGGTGAGCAGATGTAGCGATGCTAACTTTGCATGGCTGGGCTGCTCTGTGAGAAGGAAATCATTCCTCCGCCCCTGCTTCATTGACCTCCGAGCCCCGATCACGCAGCCGCCTGACGTCCCAGATGGTGTAGTTTTGTACATAACTTTGTGGAGTGGATGAGTGGAGAAATCTCTGATCCCAAATAAATGATGCAAACCATGTTCTCCCTGATTTGGACCCAAATTCTTCGCAAAGTTGGGGGAGGGCTAGTATCCCGTCCAACCAAATAGTAAACTATGCCCTTGGTCCCATATTAAGTATATATAGACCAGCAAAAGCCTAGGCAGGTATCACATTGCCCCAGAAAGTGAGAAAGATTGTACATTGGCTATAATGTAGCTGCATTAAGTAATATACCTCAGATGCTCCTATTTATATGTTACATATTTTTTATATTAGTTATAGATGCTCCTAGTTATATGTTACATGTTTTTCATATTTGTTATAGATGCTCCTATTTATATGGTTTGCACAACATTTTAACCTTACATTTGTCATAATGTGTTCTAGAGAATAATTCAACAGGTGCACAATATTTTAAGCATTGGTTTCTATCAGCTGTACCTGGGACTTTTACCTTTACAGTGTGATTGTCAATATCAACAACTTTCTATCAAGCCCACAGCCTCAAAAAATACATTAGGTGTGAGCATAGGCTTAGGTTGGAAGCACTTGCTTAGAAAGCTAGATAATTTAGGGTCTGCAAGCAGCCAATATCTAATGACCTTTGGCTTCACTGAAGCCAGCTAGAACATGGGGTTAACTGTCATTTGCTGCCAAAGGATGTCATTCAGTACCAGCTGTGAGTGCAGTACAAATTCTGCTAGCTTATTTTGTTCTTGCTACAAGCTGTGTTTTTTTTTTAATTTCATAATTTTTGTTGTCTTTCCCAAGACTCAAAACCAAATTTCAGGTACTGCAGGCCATTGATGAACAATTCAACATCACTAGTTCAGGGACAGAGCACAAGGCATTCTGCTGGCATGTGGTGTCTCCTTCCTTCCAGTCATGCAGGACTTTGACCAAAATGCCAGGGTAGGCTGTTTTGGGAGATGCCTGCTGCTGCTCTGGTTTGCTGAATGGCTATTGATTTCACAGGGTCAGCAGCATCAAACACTTCATTTCATCCTCACATTGGCTTCTGGTGCCATACCTCAGTTGGTACAAGTGCTGGACACCTGACCACCTCGTGCAGCGCTAGACACCTGACCACCATGTGGCAAAATGTGGGTGTGCGTGCACTAGAACAGCGCTGATGCATTGCGTGGATTCGCCAAATGATAATGGGCTTAGAGGTCCGTCTGGCCCGAGGAGGCAGTGTCGTCTCACTGCATGGCACCTTACAGTATTGTATAAAACAAATTCTTAGTAAATTCGATTGATGTCGGGGATCTTCATATTTTCATTTTTGCCGTTCGTACGTACGTCCGTTCCATCTCATTTACAAAGTTTTTGTTTCATTATGAATACGCAGGGCTTCGCACCAAAGTGGTGTGTTGGAGCTATTCAAGTAGGCTCACACACTTGAAAGAAGGGAAGTTTGGGAGAAAACCGATGAGTTGATGCCATTGGTTTCGTGTCAGGTGTTAAGCTTATTTTGTGTGGAACTAAATATACCTTTTGATAGACCCATTCATTTGTAACAGCCAAATGAAATGGAATGTGATGCGATGAGGGTACCAAGAGCTGGTGCGCATAGTGTTTATACACTATATTTCAGTATGTATTGTTTCCTACAGCTGTTTTTTATGCCTAATTCGATCAGAATGTGCAAGATGTACTCGAAGGTACTCGCATGCATGTACACGGGAGGCTATTTAGCACATTAAGATGAGGTTTTTTGGCATTTTAGGTTGCTCATTTTTGTGAGCTTTAATTTTGCATGCTGTAAGTTATATTTGTGACCTCTCATCAGTTTTGAACCTCGTCTCGGTAAATATTGGCCCTGACCGTTTTCGTAGTCTTTTAAGGTGTGCTTATTTATCATTGCATGCTAACACGAACAAACTGGAGAAACGGGCAGCCATCCGTTTGAAGGGAATGTTTTGCATTCGAAAAAAGAATAAAACAACTATCAGATATGATGAAATATGCTTACTTAAAGCTATTGGTGTGCAGTTGCTGGGAAAAACTGCTCTATACAACACTGTTTCGGTATTTAGTCAATATGTTCTTCAATGCGTCATTATTAAAAGGCAATTAAGGTGACCTTACAATAATTATGTACGTGATGTTCGTAAGGTAAGCTGTATTTGTACGCAAGTTGTTAAGTGCGCTTGCGAGGAACATTATTTACATAGATATGACAGAAGTAATAGCCTTATTAATTAGGGGAAAACCAGGGGAATGGAGATGTAGATGGAATCATGTTTCGGCAACATGTATTTTTTAGGAATTGTCGGTCACGGACCTTGCTGTCAAAGTAAAAATTCAAATATTTGAATTTTGGATTCCGTGAGCAAGGTCTGTGACCGAAAATTGACAACAAAAAAACTGTGACCAAAACATGATGTAATCCATCTATATCTCCATTCTCCTGGTTTCCTCAAGGGCATTAGGCTATGTATGCTGTCCTATCTAAGCTGTATTTCCGATGAGTTTTCGGTCACAGACCTTGCTCACAGAGTCAAAAATTCAAATGTTCGATTTTTTTACTGCGAGCAAGATTCGTGACCGAAATTTTACTTAGCTTTACTTTTTACTTTTACTACAGCTTACTTAGCGAGCACCGTGCACATATTTATTGTGACGGGTCATCTTAATCCTATGTTAATGCTTGCCATGCCTCACGTTGTACAAGCACTGTGCCATCTTATAAGTATGTTCCTCAATACGTCATTGTTTGATTACGTCATGGAATGTTTGTATGACGTTGAGGTACTGACAAACCAGCCGTATGAAATTGCCGGGGGATTGTAGTACAAAAGACAGTAGTAATACCGTATGTCTGGGGGAAAAAAACCCAGAAGAATGGATATATGGATGCATTGGCATTTCAGCAACATGCCTTTATCGAAACGGATAGCAGAAGCGTTTGGTCGAAACGAATAGCAGAAGCACTTTTGAAGCACAACAGCAAGCAGAAGCACAGAAGCTATTCGTTTGATGAAGTCATGTTGCCGAAATACCAGGCGTCTACATCTATTCTCCTGTTTTTTGTTCTCTCCGAGGATTAAGATTTTACGACCATGTGCATAATGTCCATCGCCAATGCACTTAACGGCTTAAGTAATTTTGCTTGTAGTTCTTCAAACTCATCGAAGGATAGCATCACGGGCTGGGAGTGTTCGCTGAGCCAAATATCGTCATGTGCTCGCAGTTTTGGCCCTCTTTTGTGGTACTTTGCAAATTTATCCCTGAGGTTAAGACGTTTTTCTTGTATTCACGTACTTGGTTATGGCGTTATTCTTTAAGTTATTCGATTACAAGTTAATTTTCGTAATAGTTAACACGTGAATGAACCATGTCCAAATTATTTTATGGTGCTGCACAAAACGTGCTTGGTAATTGAAGCTTGCACAGCTTACTCAATATTGTGAGCCAATTAGCGTCCGCATTATTTGGAAATCACGCTCGCGGACGCCAGATTTGAACAGCTGGACGACAATATGGCCTTGAACGCTGCCTGGCCTGTGGGGTGACAGGATTTGAATGACGTTGCTATGACGCCATGCATGCATGAATGGGCTTGAAATAGTCTGCACATCTTCGTGGGTGTCTAGATCAGAAACTAGAAGGTTTAGGTCTTTAGAAGGAGAGGACTGTGAACTGCACCGAATGATCTTCAAAATGGCTATCTCAGTTCAAACCGCCACACAAATGTGGACCATGCGTTAATACATGATCGAATGAGCAATGTTGCTCGGCTACTGCACTACCTTTTCTCGACTACTGTACTTCTGACTACCGTCCACTACTGTAAGAACCAGACAACGGCAGATGTGACGGCAAGAGATATGTACGAGCCGCGTGAGTCGTGCTCTCAGCGACCCGGACGTTGCAGACATGGGTGTGGCGCGCCTGCTCTGGATCCGGCTGAAGGCGTCGCTGGCCTGCCTGTGGGCGCTGGTCGGTCGGGCCTTCTGCTGTCGCAAGTGGCGCCGCAAGCTCTCCAACGTCGGCCCGCCCATCTCGGTGGACGTGCAGTCGGTGCCGACCGACCATGGCGAGCAGGTGGGACATGCCATGGCGAACAGGCGGGACATGCCATGGCGAGCAGGTGGGACGTGCTGTGGCGAGCAGGTGGGACATCCCATGGCGAGCAGGTGGGACATGCTATGGCGAGCAGGTGTGACATGCTATGGCGAGCAGGTGGGACAGCCCTGGGGGCAAGCGGGACATGCCCAGGCGAGCAGGCGGGACATGTCATGGCGAGCAGGTGGGACATGCTATGGCGAGCAGGTGGGACATACCTGGGGGACAGGTGGGACATGCCCTGGTGCGCAGGCGGGACATGTCATGGCGAACAGGCGGGACGTGCCATGGCGAGCAGGTGGGACATGCCCTGGCGAGCAGATGGGACATGCCATGGCGAGCAGGTGGGACATTTCATGGTGAGGAGGTGGGACATAAAATGGCGTGGCACGAGCGGACGTGTCAGTTGCGTTTATTTTGGGGGCGTTATCGTAATATTTGTCTCTAATGTTGTCAGTCCAACTATGATCGTATTTTTGGAGTTGGGGACAGGGCATGGTAACGAACCTCAGTGGCACGCGCTGTTTGACGAGCAGGCTATCAGCCTGCCAGAAAGAACGATCCCATGCATGGCCAGGGATCCGCACTATAATCAAAGTACGCGCATACTGATATAAAAGTACGCAATAACAACTCGGTTTTGTTACTCAGACGCTGAAATCATTAAAGTGGTGCATGTCTGAACAATGCCTGTGCGAGAATCCGCGTGAACAGTTATTACAAAGCCGTTGCGGGCATGGGTCGAAGGTGACTAATTTGTTGCGAAATGTGTGTGAGGTGTTTTGCTTAAGCGGGTGAACGCCACGAACGAAATTGTAATATCGTGCTCGTTGTTGAGCGTACCGATACGGGGCAAACGTGGTTCGTCTTAGACAAAATATACTTGGTTGCTGCAAGATTTAAGTGCTGTGCGTATCAAAGGTTATACTGGGCAAGGTGGTCGAGAGCCAGCCGTACGTTTTCAAGTGCACTTCCCATATGATATGGAGGTGTTGCTTTGCTATCGTCATTTTGTCTTACTTGTGTTTGGCTTTCTACTAGCTTGCCCCTTGTCGGTAGCAGTCACGTGTGACTGCATGCTAATGTGAACTAGGAAGCTCGGCGGTTATTTTGCATTGTGCGCGGTCCTGGGCATAATATGCACTTTGAAACCGTGTTATAGATCAATACGAACTTAGTTGCTCGTCATTGCGAAGTACGATACGATGGCTAATTTTGAGGTGGAAGTGTAGACCAGACACCTGGTTTTTAAACGCACGCTGAACTCCCGCTATTTGGCGGCAAACTGTTGTAGCGCGAAGAAACAAAGCAACAGCGGGTGGCTGACCCTTGCTATTGGGCCCGTAGCTCACGAATTCCACACAAAAGTGCAGCGGTGGATATCCTGATAACCAAGCCCGAAGGTCGTTCAATGTCTCAAAGTCAAATGGTGACTTTCCAGGTAACGTCAAACCAAGTGTTTGGAAATAAAAGGTAAACAAAGCGTTATTTTTTTCAGCGCCGGGCTGATACTTGGAAGCACCGTGGGTACAAAACCGAGATCCGAATCAGGCCAATTTTGCTATCAAATCTGTTTAAGCCGATGTTTTGATAGTTACCTGCTTTGTTTGGCATAGAGCTTAGCATATGAGAAGTCAATAAGACGATTTGTGTTTTGTACCGGTGTGCTATTAAAACACTCAGCTATATCAAATGCGACGCCTGGAAATCATTTGTTTTTTTAGTGGTCTCATAGAGACCACGCGGAAGAACTAGTCAACACCCCTTTGTCATTTCCCGAGCCCTCGAGGTTTAGTGTGCATAGTGTGGCTGGCAAAACGTGTAGTTGTCTTGTTTCTGGGATGTGCTTGGGACCAAGACTATTATGAACAGCAGTTATTGCCTGATTTCGCGAATTGTGGGATGTTCCTAGTGTAGGCGCGTTTCTCGTATTGGCCCGCAAGAACATTGTGTTTCCCCGTCGGCGTTCGGCATCAAGTCGTGTAGAGCACGGTTTATATATACATATACATATATATATATATATATATATATATATATATATATATATATATATATATATGTGTGTGTGTGTGTGTGTGTGTGTGTGTGGCGTGCGTGCGTGCGTGCGTGCGTGCGTGCGTGCGTGCGTGCGTGCGTGCGTGCGTGTGTGTGTGTGTGTGTGTGTGCTTTCATGCAAGAGCTAGAGTTGATAGCTAAGCTTGTTGGGTCCAGCATATAAAGCCTGAAGAGAAATACACCTACATTTATGAACCGGCCAGAGGTGCTTTTCTATTCTGATCACGTTTGAAAGCCCCCGTCATCAAGTTAGAGCCGTTAAATTACATCGTCGTGCATGGAGCCAAATAAATCAAGCGGAATAAAGTGAAGTTTGCGAAGTGGGCACGGCGGTAGCCGTTTTGTAGCAATGGCTGGGATTTTGATCATGGAATAAGCATGTCCTAGAAAACATTTCAACACCGGGTAAATTTGGGTGATAGGTTTTTCAAGTTTCCAGATGGATTTTCAGCAGCCAGTTCAACGGTATTTCACTGCTAGGTTCTGCTTGACTCCAGCATTGGGGCCATAGTATTGTATGCGACCTCTGTGAACTCCAGGTGATACAAGTTTAACATCTGTAACGATTCGGAGTTGTGCCAGGAGTCACAGCTTGCAGAATTTCTCAGAGAAGCTTTACCTTGGATCGCCCACACCAAGCCCTGTGAATGCGTGCCATTCGCAACTGACATGGACTGTTCGTACGGCGCTCTGGTGTTCGACAACAGCTCTGAAAGTGACTCGCTCGTCGTCGACCACCTTTACGAGACGCTGTTCTCGCATAAGGCGCCGCGCAGGAAGTCAATACTATCAGGGCGGCCGTCAGGAGGCTCGGAGTCGGGCGCGGGCGTGGCATCCCCCTGTGCAGAGTCGTCACGTGCCGCCTCACCCTCGGCCGGCCCCGCGGGGACGGCCGCCTGCGGGGCCGCGGCCGCCAGCGCGCCCTCGGAGGCGGAAAAGTGCCAACGTGAGACGGGGGGAGACCTGGAGGTGGAACTGCCGGCGGCTGTGCAGGCGGTCATCTCGCGCCGTCAGTCGACGCGGGAGCGATTCGCGCGCCGGCAGCGAGCGGTGCGCGACCTGCAGCGGCGCTGCGGCCAGCCGCCGGCCGCCGGCCGGCCGCGCTGGGTGCCGCCCGCGCTGCTGTATCGGCCGCCGCCACTGCCCGCGCTCCAGCGCCAGCTGCTGGAGCCCGGCGAACTGGCCGACACGGTCCCCGAGCCGCCGCTGCTCACCTACGCTCAGATTGATGAGTTCACCAGCCGGCAGTCGGGGTGCGCTGCTGACGAGGAACGCCCAGATAAGGCGGAGCGTCTCAGAGAGACTGGGGTCTCGGAAAGGCTACCGGCACATTGCATAAGGCGGAGCGTCTCAGGGAGACTGGGGTCTCCGAAAGGCTACCGGCACATTGCATAAGCGCAGCGTCTTATCAGAGATGACCTTCTCGCCACCCATGAATACCAATGCGTCAACATAGCTTTGGAACTGGGGTCACGGGTGCTATCGGTGAGTCAGATACGTCCTGATGTCTTAAGCTCATGGACAGGCGACCTCTAGACTCCTTGATTGGGCTTGATTTCACGGTAATGTACCAGTGTTGGATGCCCTCGTTGTTTGGATTTTTACGGGGATATTTTGATGATGGGCGGACTTGTGTGAGCCCGGAAGACAGTTCCTTAAATGCCAAGCTCGATCAGAAAATTGTTCAAGAATTCTAGCCTCTGGCAGTTTGGAAAAGTTCAAGCTTAGGAAATGGAAAGAATGGAAGACACTAAGTCTTTAGTTTTACATCTTGAACCATCATGACACCGAATATGGCGTGGTCTGTTGTAACTTCATTACTTTGACATGCGGGGAGGTAATAATCTAGAATGAAAGGCGTGCCGTTCTATCTGAGAAGTGAGAAGTTAAAAATGCGTTACATCTTCGGCTTATTTAAGAGCGGTTTAGGTGAAAGTAAGTTAAAGGTACTTGTTCCGTTGTTTGACAACAATAAATGAGTCAAAGGTAGAGGGTTGCTGATGAGAAATTTATGCATTGATGTGTGGCATGACAAGGATGTGCTTTACTTTTTTACTTCTTTGCAAACGAGGAAATTATAGATCGTGGGAAGTTTAGCTGTCGCATTTTGAGAATATAAAAACATGTTCAAGAAAAGCAAGTATTGTGCCGGTATTGCTCGATATTGGTGCATGCAACAATGCTGACCACTGGCTCATATGCCAGTGAGGCCGGTGAGCAACCCGAATGAACGGAGGCCAAACGTTGGCATCGTTAGTACCTTTCCTTAAGCTTTATTTACCTATTGGCCAAAGACGGGCCTCTCTTCGATGCACTCATGACGATTCAGGTGTCAGCTTTATTAGTGAACCCAATGTAATCGGTACTGACCTTAGTTAGTCCTAAATGGGTTCTGGATCACGTTTTGCCCTGTATCTGAATCACGGCAAGGTTTGGCGCCTGATTTGTACCCCGACACCTGGTTGGACGTTGCATAAAGCCATAATTTTTGCCCGTCAGGGCATCAAGAAACCTTTTGGTTTACGTGACTCACAAATACTAGAGAAAAATGTATCTTACGCTCTCCTCTGGACATATATTTCCAGGACCGCTGTAAATCTTGTTACGTAGCTTACTCTTAGATCATAATTATTTTTTTCCATCGCGCCTCAAATCCATCGTGACTTCTGTATGCCGCGCCGCAGCCGTCACAATCGGATGCCACAGCTTGACAAATGTACGAGCGGACGAACTTTTGGAAGTTTGCCTGTTGAAAGCATGACCTTTTCTGTTTCGACATGTAATCTTCGTAGGTCAGTACCATATCCTTAACTGCAAATTGTGAGCACAAATTATCCAACTTGCCGTCGCGTACGAAAGCGTAAGCCGCGCTGGACGTGATATCACCTATCACGCTCGGCCATGCTCGGTAGCAGGCTGCGGAGGAAAGCCGCCACAGGAAGCCGAGCCTTGTCGAACTCGCAAACTAGTGAACCGATCGCCGTCAAATCCACGTTTGATTCACAGGTGCAACATGCGTGCCTGCGGTAGGCGAATATATTGGGTTCAAGGTCATGCCGGTTAAACAACAGTTCGGATAAGGTCAGGGGTTATGAGTGGCTAGGAAAACGGACAGTGTGAGGCCCGGTGGGGCCGCTCTCGGCGCCTGGTCACACAGCCGTAATCTGGCCGTGGTGAGGCCCGGTGAGGCCGCTCTCGGCGCCTGGTCACACAGCCGTAATCTGGCCGTGGTGAGGCCCGGTGAGGCCGCTCTCGGCGCCTGGTCACACAGCCGTAATCTGGCCGTGGTGAGGCCCGGTGAGGCCGCTCTCGGCGCCTAGTCACACGGCCGTAATCTGGCCGTGGTGAGGCCCGGTGAGGCCGCTCTCGGCGCCTGGTCACACAGCCATAATCTGGCCGTGGTGAGGCCCGGTGAGGCCGCTCTCGGCGTCTAGTCACACGGCCGTAATCTGGCCGTGGTGAGGCCCGGTGGGGCCGCTCTCGGCGCCTAGTCACACAGCCGTAATCTGGCCGTGGTGAGGCCCGGTGAGGCCGCTCTCGGCGCCTAGTCACACAGCCGTAATCTGGCCGTGGTGAGGCCGGTGAGGCCGCTCTCGGCGCCTAGTCACACGCCGTAATCTGGCCGTGGTGAGGCCCGGTGAGGCCGCTCTCGGCGCCTGTCACAGCCGTAATCTGGCCGTGGTGAGGCCCGGTGGGGCCGCTCTCGGCGCCTAGTCACACAGCCGTAATCTGGCCGTGGTGAGGCCCGGTGAGGCCGCTCTCGGCGCCTAGTCACACAGCCGTAATCTGGCCGTGGTGAGGCCTGGTGGGGCCGCTCTCGGCGCCTGGTCACACAGCCGTAATCTGGCCGTGGTGAGGCCCGGTGAGGCCGCTCTCGGCGCCTAGTCACACAGCCGTAATCTGGCCGTGGTGAGGCCTGGTGGGGCCGCTCTCGGCGCCTGGTCACACAGCCGTAATCTGGCCGTGAACACTCGCTGACGCGCCATTGTCAAAAACGGGTGGCATTGTATGTCAGGTCATGGAAGCAAAATCGAATACAAAAGCAACGCTGCGGCTGCCACGGTCGTTTCAGAACCCATTGCACTGTTCGACGTTAGGTCAGGAGAGAAGATATGGGAACAGTCAGTGCTCTAGCTGCCACGGCTATTCTCCAAAGCTAAACAGCCGATGATGTCGATGTTGTCACAAGCCAATGAGCCCTAACTAAAAGGTCGGCTTGGTTTTTTGTTGCCCGTGGCGAAGTGTTGTGGAAATGTACTTAAAAAGCACAAGCGCTGAACACGAGCACTTCAAGCGTGCTGTCGCCACTTTTCTCAGAACCCATCCAGGGACTGTAACGAATTGTCCGCCTACAGACCCACCGTGGTATGAAACGGATCCTTTGGGGTTATGGTGAACGATGGTGAAATGCCGTGATGTGAAAACAAAGGAAACCAGGGTTTGACTGCCAGCACCGTTTTTAAACCGTATTTCTCGGATCGCCGCGAAACATCCACCACTGAAGGCGCCGTCCTATGGAGTCTGGTGAACTCGTCCTATGCCCAAAGTCTTGAAAACAGGCGCTTCCGGTGTCGCTGTGACGGCCTTCCTTGATGTGAACAGCTGATCGTTCCGAAACATGACCAGCTGGATGCACTTTTCAACGCTTCCAGGTTGGTTGGAAAACCGCTGATTGGAACTTCCAACCAAGTTGTCCTGCCTTGTCCGTGCTCAGAGAAGCTATCGTGGTTATCGTCGCAAAACCCTCAACCATACTTGCGCCGGACTAAAGATAAATTTTGCAAAGGAAAAGCCAGCGCTCTAGCTTCCATGGTCTCTCTCAGAACCCATGGTTACAACTTCCATGAAACATTCACCATTAGATTCACCGTAGTCAAAAGCGTGTGCTCAGAGGTTTTGCCGACCTTGGAGGAATGATACGAACATCCGTGGTATCCAAATCAGAACAGCATTTTTACATCCACACAGTTATTATTCTGCGTGAAATATCGCGTTCGGTTTACAATATAGGTAGCGTACAGCTTTCGTGCGGCGGAGGGCGTGATGTGTCTGTGTCCGCCCGGACAGGACGACCCAGGGGCCGGCTGGAGCTGGGAGGAGCCGTCGGCCGTCGTCACCGTGCAGGACAAGATTCGCGCCTACCGGGAGACGCGCTCGCGCGTGTCCGAATCGGAGCAGCAGGCCCCCGAGCCGGACTTCTTCTCGGTGAGGAGGCCGACGCTGTTGTAACGGGAAGAACACGGCACAACCGACCGGCCTGTGCACTCGAGCTTAAACGTTTGCTGGGGAGAGCACGGGCGTGCGAATAGGCTATGACTACACACATAGTAAAACCATAGCTAACCGGAGTGTTGGGGAGTCTTCCGAAATGGCACTCAGCCTGCAACCACGGACAACTGTCCCTGGAGTTCTTCGTCCCACCAATGCCGGCTCGCGCCATGCAGCGCTCATTTTCAGCTCACTGGGTGGGTGGATACTGTTTCTAATCATATCAAACATCCTGAGCGTGAGCCTGTGTCGCAATGCACTATGGCGATCATTACAACAATACTACGAACACGAATATGTACTGGCTGGACGGTGTTCACCTAGAAACTAGACGGAAGAAGTTGGCTGTGTGGTGGGTGATGGATTATTTTCCGTTCACGGGGCACATCGGGGAAAATTGTCGGTTGTATCTCGCAAAGGACCCGCACCGTTATCCCTAGCGTAGGCCTTGTCCAAATATATGGTAATTGATATGTATGAAGTGCAAGCAATCACATAGGCGCTGTTTTAGTCGGGGTGATCTGAGTGTGCGGATATGAGGTCCAGAGCAGCACCTGACCGCCGATTCGATTGTCTGATTGTCTGACTGCAGGACATGGCTCCGAGCATAAGGCGCTCGCAGAGGGTGCTGGTCGGGTCGGAGGAGCCCTCGGCCGCCGTCGACGCTGCTGGTCTCTCCTCCCGGCTGGCCTACACCGACAGCATGGTGATGCCACAGGTGGGACTCGCTGCTGGTCTCTCCTCCCGGCTAGCCTACACCGACAGCATGGTGATGCCGCAGGTGGGACTCGCTGCTGGTCTCTCCTCCCGGCTAGCCTACACTGGCAGCATGGTGATGCCACAGGTGGGACTCGCTGCAGGTCTCTCCTCCCGGCTGGCTTACACCGACAGCTTGTGAGGTCTCCTCCGGCTGGCTTACACCGACAGCATTGTGATGCTACAGGTGGGACTCGCTGCAGGTCTCTCCTCCCGGCTGGCCTACACCGACAGCATGATGATGCCACAGGTGGGACTCGCTGCAGGTCTCTCCTCCCGGCTGGCCTACACCGACATCATGGTGATGCCACAGGTGGGACTCGCTGCAGGTCACTTCACTGGCCACCACCAGTTGCAGTCTAACCCGGCATGGACGGATATAAAGCCGCCTTTGGATTACCGAGATTTCTATCTCGAGAACCAGTAAACGATTTTGAAGGGTTGAGCCAACGTTTGTCCCCAGACACACTTGGCGCCCAAAAGTGGTTTTGTCACCCAAAAGTCATAGTCACATTACAGGTCAGGCCGAGTCATGATATTCGGATGCGTATCAGCCTAGCTGGCAGTGGCTCAGACGCCCACGTGGGGGGCTGGGCGCGCTTTGGGTGTGCACAGCCGCTCGGCGACAACATGGCGTCGTGGTTACGCTGCTCCATGAAATGGTTGGGCGAGGACGACAGCGGTGCATCCTGGCTGTAGAAGACATACCAGGGGATTATCAGATGTGTAATCTGCAGACGTCTTATCCCGGTACCCATTTACTCTGGCGAAACTTGTAAACACTGACCAAGAGTGGATGCCCCACCCACCCTCCTCAGATGGGATGTAAACACCCCATGCGGAGGGCCACGGACCACCAACATCACGCGATCTTCCCGAGACCGGATAAAAAACGGCAAATGATACTCACGTCAAACATGACAGGCAGGCGGCTCAAAACCATTTGGGGTCAGCTGATGATTGATTCTCTCTATTTCGGAGATAGTACCATTGACTCTCCATTTCGGAGACCAGTATCAGTATTAGTATCAGTATATTGGAAACCATCCACATAGTGGCTATTACGGCTTCATATCATAAAGGTGCGGTATGATAAGGCACACACGAAAGGTATACACTAAGATGATACGAGAAGTGGTGAATCAGTTGAAACAGACCTATCACTGCACAGCGGGTCGTGTGAGATCCGTGGTCGGTGGTCAAAAATCGCATCGCGTATGGCGGTCTTAAACGCGCTCAGTGTTGTGACATGGCGGACGCACGATGGCAGGCGGTTTCAGGCTGCTGCGGCTCGATACGAAGACGCCCTCCGTGTGGTGGTCAGGCGTTGTCCGCGCAGGTGTAGGCTACCGCTGTCCGGGGCGCGCGTTTGTCAGATCGAAGCAGTGGCGCGCGAGACAAGAAAGGGCGCGGACCTTGTGAGGCGCGCCTGCAACTTTCAGCGCCTTAAACACTGATCACTCAGCGGTGCGCCACCGTTACCTCGTTCCTTGGTCATCCAAGGCGAGCTTGTGCCTGGGAACATTGCGCAGCCATGGAGCGGCGCCAAAGAGGAGGTTATCCACCAAGAGCTGCGGCAAATGTTGAGCATCAGCGCCTCCGGGACGCGGCGTCCAGCTGTTTTATCAGGTACCACCAGACATATAATATTCTAGCATAGTACGTTCCAGATAAGTAACCCGAGTGACTTCACACGGAAAAGTGTCTACACTTGCTTGCTGGCTGATGTTTTCTATCGCATTTGACGACGTTTCCAGAAAAGGCCACTAATGGATATGAAAATGAAACAGGGAATTAAGTATTACCGCCTGTCTCACGTGTCACGTGAGTGAAAAAATCTGCCTCTGCTGGGTCGACAGCGTTGGACGAAAACGGAATGTTCTTAAGGCGCGAAGCTTTCTTAACAGCCTCATCATCAATGTGCTGTTAAGGAAGTCAAAGTCACCAGTCATGTCCGTTATCGAAGCGTCAACTCTGCTCATAACGTCTGATCTCACTATGCCGGCCGCTTTTGGTACTGACCCACACTGCTGACCGTATCCGGCTGCCGTCACACTGCTGACCGTATCCGGCTGCCGTCACGCTGCTGACGGTATCTAGCTGCTGTCGCTCCGCTGACGGTGTCCAGCTGCTGTCACACTGCTGACGGTGTCCAGCTGCTGTCCTACGCTGGCCGTATCCAGCTGCCGTCACGCTGCTGACGGTATCTAGCTGCTGTCGCTCCGCTGACGATGTCCAGCTGCTGTCACGCTGCTGATGGTGTCCAGCTGCTGCCCTACGCTGGCCGTGCCCAGCTGCCGTCACGCTGCTGACGGTATCTAGCTGCTGTCGCTCCGCTGGCGGTGTCCAGCTGCTGTCACACTGCTGACGGTGTCCAGCTGCTGTCCTACGCTGGCCGTATCCAGCTGCCGTCACACTGCTGGCAGTACCCAGCTGCTGTCATGCTGCTAACGGTGTCCAGCTACTGTCACACTGCTGACGGCGTCCAGCTGCTGTCACACTACTGACCGTATCCACCTGCCGTCACCCCGCCGGCTGGGCGCTGACTGTACCTGCCGGCTGCCCGCCAGGCCGCTGAGCTGACCGACTTGGTGGAACCGAGCGCCTGGGAGGCGGACGACATCCAGCCGGACGCGCTGCAGAGTCACCAGCGCGCGCTGCGGCTGCAGCAGCTGCAGCGTAAGCGCGAGCAGCGTTCCGGGCCGCCCGTGCGGTGACGCGCCGGCCCCAGCCCCAGCCCACCACGGCCGCCGGCCTGACGTGCAGCCGCCACCGGCGTACCGCGGGACGAGCGCTCAGATGCGGACGGTTGCCTCTGTTTGCGTGGTCTCATGCGGCTGTTGAGAGAGGAGAATGGTCGGTGGCCTCGGCAGTAGTCGTGTTTCTGTTGCTCGCGGTTGATCCGCGGCACGACGCCCTGCTTGCGTTGTAACGAGAGGGCCGGGACGCGGAGCTTTGTTTTCGAATTCCTTGACCGTCCTGTGGCAATCGCGGCCCCTCGCCGGCGAACCGTGATGTGTGGAGAGCTTTGTTATCTTGTATGTCGCTGCGACTTTGGGGGCTAGTGGTGTATGTTGATTTTGTTCCATGAAAACATGAACAAAGGCAGTTATCAAGGAGTCATCGCCGAAATGCCGATTGAGTGTAATCCAGCCTGGGGGAGTCGGCTGGGGTGCGCAAGAAAACGATTAAAAGAAGCAAAAAAAGAGGGTAACAACCCTCTAGTATTCTGCACAGCTGACAAGAAGCGAAGTTGCGCCCAACATATACGGCTTCATTGGTTTCCACTCATTACTGATCCTTATTTTGGCGATTAATCCCACTAGTTTGATAAAGACAGCCACCACCAAGGAAAAGAAGAACGTGTGGTCCTTGCCGTGGTTGATTCTCGTAGGCGCAGGCACGGGGCGGCGAGTGGCGAAGCGAAATGGGGTGCTTCGCCACCCGTGAGTGGCGAAGCATCCCATATTTGGGGAATGCTGAACATGAAACGTACGTTGGCGCACGGAGAGGGTCAACTTCAGAATCAGTTCGGAACCTCCGCCCCTCCCCTCCTCTTCGTTTTCAAGCGTTGCTCCACCTATTATCACTTGACCTTTGATTTGAATTTGTGATTATTAACATTTTGCATGGTTGTCGTCAGACCCTCAACCACCAGGTTGCCATGGAATCCGAGATGGCGTGTCGGCATTCGCCCCGCAAACAGCACTCCAGAATTTATAATACAGCTGCTCTATCAAAACCTCGTCTTCGAGCCTGTCTCGCACTGAAGGGCGGATGTAAGCAGCGGCACCATGAAAGTGCGCGGTTCGAACGCTGGCCATCTGCCAACAGACCATAGACGCCTTGGGAGATTGGCGAGGCGCGCATGACTGCATCACCGTGTTTACGTATCTGGTTTGCTCGCCGTGCACTGAGCGCTGAAAGGCGGTGATCAACCGCTCCATCGACCAGCGACTGGGTCCCACGGGCTCGCCGCCGTCGTGCCGCAGGGGCCGGCTGCCGTTCACGGGCGGGCCGGCAGTCGCGTTGCGCTGTACCCACGGGTACAGCGCAACGTCAAGGCGTGGCGTTGCGTGGCGGGGCAGCGTCAACGTACGGCGTCAAGCACACCGCGCTGCCGCTGTTGGGCCGGTTTGCGCGGCGCCGCGCACACCTCTAGCCTGCAGGGCTGGAGGCCGCCGCGGAACTCCCGGGCAAGTCCGCGGTCTGCACGGCGATACCATGTTCTACTGCCAGAACCGACCGGCGCGGGAGCGACGTCCCCTGTGCCCGACCGCCTGCGAGGCAGACTGAGCTGCTGTCCTGCGGCGCGGCGTCGTCTCTCCGCCCAACGGTGAGTGCCTGGTCTTGTTTGGGGCGTTGCATCCGCTGGGAGACGGGTGGGGCGCCATGCGGTGACCTTGGGATCGCTGGAGTGCGAGCCGGCGGAAGCAGTACCGTGTGTTTGATGGTCTGGTCACGTGGTGCCGTACAGTGCCATCGCTTGATCCAGATTTTCGCAGGTTTGAAAGGTGTCATTTTTGGCAGTATTTTCTTTTGGGGGCGTGGAGCAAGGTTTCTGTCCTCTACGACGCCTATCAGTGTTCCCCACTGAAGTTTTCAGCCATTTTAGCGGCGTTGTGGTATGTTCAATGCCGCACGGAGCGCAAAGGCGCACCCAGAGCTTGGCAAGGGGAGGCAGGGTTGGTAAAGCCCCCCCCCCAAAAAAAAATCGACGGATATGATCCATTTGTTATTGAGGACGTGTTTTCTGATGCGCACAAATCTCTCTCT